TTAACCTACCAGAATGTCTTTGCAATGTGGGAGGAAGCCTGAACGGAGACTATATTGTTATGCATTCACATGTTCATTTTCCTATACAAAATCACATCTGTCATCTCTGCTGCACCATTGCCCATCTCCTCCTGATATCTGATGGCACATTGCGTTTTTTTAGAGAAACTGCTTGGAATGTTGGGAGGTGTAGTTTAGTCAGTTCTGGCGCCTCTATATAGAAAAGGAAAGTGACAGATGACCCTGCCAACCCTCCACATCAATCAGATGTGGGTAGTGGCATCTTTGGTGGTAGGGATCAGAATCCTATATTGCAGTAACTGCAGGATGAGCAAAATAAGCAACACTATATGAAGTTATCATTCAGAATGCTGAGCTGGTGCGTGTATAACATATAGTGCAGACATAGAGATCCTAGTTGTACATTAACTGTACTTGGTTTTTAAAGGAAATTCGAATGATTGATTATGAGAAAATGATGGACCAGAGAGGAATGCGAGTAGTGGCATTTGGACAATGGGCTGGTGTAGCAGGTAATTTAGAGTAACTTGTTTATTTATAAAATGCAAGATGAAAGTAATATAACTTGTGATGACTAATTACAGAATATACATTACAAATATTTCTTCAAATTTAGCATTTTCTTTGTGCATGCCTGTTTTTGTTTTTTTAATTAAATTTTTTATCCATAAAGGTTTCTTTATGTGCGTATTAGAAAAGAAACAGGACTGTATTAAATCTACTTTTAGCTTTAAATGTAACTTGGCTCTAGTGCTATGTTTCTGTGCTATAAAAATGAATACAGCTAGCAGAAAAATTTAGTGACTCATGGTTATGATTTAAATAGCTGCATGTATACGCAGGATCTACTACCAGATGTATGTGTGAACAGGGTATTCTACCAGCCTCTCTGAGCCAGTGATCCTGTTTTTTTATTTTTTCAATTATGACTATGGCACCCATATAGTTAGCACTGCACTGCTAAGCTTTCTCATTGAGAGTTGCTAAAATTACTGTGGCGCATATAATATTGCCTAACTGCTATGTATAATACTTATTTTCTTACATTCCATTCATTCAGGGATGATCAACATGTTGCATGGTTTAGGGCTTAGATTTCTTGCATTGGGACATCACACCCCCTTTATGGTAAGGTTTTATCTCCTATCTGGTCTAATTACAATCATGTTGCTTCTGTACTTAGCCTTTGAAACTTTAAGAGCTTGTTCACACCAGGCACTGCACTGATTGCAAAGGCACAATTCAGAGAAAACTTCCCATGATTTTGAATAATTCAAAGGATTCTCTGATTGGATGAGGTGGAGTAGTAAGACAGTTATGTTACAATCTTCACCTTGTCCAACCAGAGAACTCCTTGCATTTAATTAAAAAAAACTTCAAGGCATGCTGTGAATGGTGCCTTTTGACCGGTGAATGACACCCTGGTTTAACTATGCAGCAGGGTAGCCCCTAAGCACTGGACCCAGAAGGTAACGGCAGTCACTAGTGCAAAGTACATTTATCTCCCAGCTTCCATAGTGATTGGCCACATATGGCACATACATTGATCCAAGCTCGACCAATATAACTATGCAAACAAAGCCATACCTACACTTCAGCTTTAAAGCTTCCTCTGTCACTTTGCCTACTAATTTGACTATCAATCAGTAGCTTGACTGTCTGGTTTAATTGACACACACATACGTAATTGGGTCCATGCTGGTCCATTGTAATTATGCAAAAAATACATAAACTTCAGCTTTAAAGCTGATCAAAAGAAAGCATAGGTGTGTTCCTGGTCATGTGATGTAGCATAAATGTGTGAAATTTTTTCTTACCCCCTCATTCACACGGGTGCACTGATCAGTACACCTGTGCAGAGGGTTGTTTACCTGCCCAAGAGGCACAGGTGGTCTGTGTTGCCTTATATTAATTAGAGGATGACGAGTGTATTTATAAATGTATTTTCCCACAGCAACTAGTCCAACAGTTCTTTTCCAGAGAGATGCATTTAACCAGCTCAGAAACCATCCATAAAACCAAGGTACAGACAAGGCAGATGACAGGATACTTAGAATATAAAAGGGGGGTATACGAGCACTAGGAAATGTGTAAAATGATAAGCAACTAGCATAAAGGTGTAACCTCTAAACCTTTGATATATATTCTGTCAAACAATGCAGTGCTATATTCAGAAATTGGAGTAAAAAATAACATATATTCATATAAATGCGCTGTGGCGCGCTTGGGTAATGGCAAGTGAAAAACATCTAGAAAAATGACGTTTAAAGAGCAATAAGTGACATGTGGAAAATAACTTTCAATTCACACACAATGATAACAAAACGTCCAATGATCAAGCAAGGGTGAAATCCATGCCTCCCGTGACGGTGAATGAGTAAGTATTGCACTAACCAGATAGCGCAAAGTATGCGCCTTTGAGTTTTCAGACCACTCCTGGTCATCTGGAAAGGCAAAGATCATCTGGCAAACCAGCAGCAGGACAGGTGATTAGCGTGTCATCTCTCTCCAGGTGACATTCCTCATCCATCCAGCAGCGGGTTATAGACCAGGTAACATAGATGTTCAGCCATCCAGCAAGGGAACCATCACAATGACAGGAATGGGGCACCAGATAAAGGATCCACCTTGAAGGGGGGGGGGGCTCGTAATAAAACAAGCCCAAACAAAAATCTTGATAGTGCAGTAATTTCCAACTTATTAATGAATCTACAATGTGTATTACACTCACAGCATAAACAGCAGTAAAGATGTCCGCCGGCCTCCACGTGGGCCGAGCGGCGTGACATCACTGGCTAGGCTCCACCCTACGTGTTTCGTTCTACGAGTACGTTATTATCAAAGAGTATTTGATCCCCTATCATTCAGCAGGATTTCTGGCTACCAGGTGTCTTTTGTACAGGTAACAAGCTGAGATTAGAAGCAGTCTCTTAAAGGGAGTGCTGCTAATCTCATTTTGTTACCTGTATAAAAGACACCTGTCCACAGGAACAATCAAACAATCAGATTCCAAACTCCACTATGGCAAAGACCAAAGAGCTGTCCAAGGATGTCAGGGACAAGATTGTAGACCTCCACAAGGCTGGACTGGGCTACCAAACTATTGCCAAGCACCTTGGTGAGAAGGTGACAACAGTTGGTGCAATCATTCGCAAATGGAAGAAACCCAAAATTGGAGTGTCAATGATCATGAAAACCGTGAGGAATCATCCCAGAACTACACAGGAGGATCTTGTCAATGATCTCCAGGCAGCTGGGACCACAGTCACCAAGAAAACAATTTGGTAACGCACTATGCCAACAAGGATTGAAATCCTGCAGTGCCCGCAAGGTCCCTCTGCTCAAGAAAGCACATGTCCAGGCCCATCTGAAGTTTGCCACTGAACATCTGAATGATGCAGAGGAGGACTGGTTGAAAGTGTTGTGGTCAGATGAGACCAAAATCGAGCACTTCGGCATCAACTCAACTCAGTGTTTGGAGGAGGAGGAATTCTGCCTATGACCCAAGAGCACCATCCCAACTGTCAAACATGGTGGTGGAAACATTCTGCTTTGGGGGTGTTTTTCTGCTAAGGGGACAGGACAACTGCATTACATCAAAGGGACTATGGACGGGGCAATGTACTGTGAAATATTGGGTGAGAACCTTCTTCCCTCAGCCAAGGCATTGAAAATGGTTTGTGGATGGGTGTTCCAGCATGACAATGACCCAAAACACACAGCCAAGGCAACAAAGGAGTGGCCAGTCTGCAGACCTTAATCCGATTGAAAATCTGTGGAGGGAGGTGAAAGTTCAAGTTGCCAAATGTCAGCCACCAAACCTTAATGACTTGGAGAGGATCTACCAAGAGGAGTGGGCCAAAATCCCTCCTGAGATGTGTGCAAACCTGGTGGCCAACTACAGGAAACGTCTGACCTCTGCGATTGCCAACAAGGGATTTGCCACCAATTATTAAGTCATGTTTTGTGAAGGGGATCAAATACTTATTTCCCTCATGAACATGCAAATTAGTGCATAATTTGTTAGACATGCATTTTTTTTGAATTTTTTGTTGCTGTTCTGTCTCTGTGTTACAATACAACTACCATTCGATTTTTAGACTGATCATTTCTTTGTGAGTGGGCAAACATTCAAAATCAGCAGGGGATCAAATACTTATTTCCTTCACTGTATGACATTACAATATTCTACATGTCCCCACTTGAATCCGTTCTAATCAGAATCGATTCACAAGCCAATACCAAACGAACCTACCTATATTATGAGCTAGAAGGGTTGCATTGTGATTTGAGGTATTGAATGCTTCATAATGGCTCATATGAAATTGAAACTAGATACATCTCTCTTCACCAGCCTCTAAAATATCCCCGTGAATCAGTTATTAGATAATATGACCTTAGACCATGACCAACAAAGGATTTGGTAAACACCAGTGGCCCATATAACTCTAAGGCCTATTTCATGGCTTGTAGTTTCTTCAGTATATCAAACCACAGTCATGAGTATTATACAAAGCAGCAGTAGAAATTCTTGCCAGTGTCTTCACCATGAAAGTAAAAAGTTCTTTACATCCATATGTCATAGCCTTTGGCATATTATAAACAACTGATTCAATAAAATTCAAATTCTGACTGGAGTGATAACTTTCACTCACCCCTCTTATAAATCTAGAGAGAGCCACCCAAAGTATTCTATTCTCAACTTATTCTACCCAGTCTGAGCATCAGTGTGCAAATACTCAAACACCCAATTAGGGATGCTATGCAAAGCCATTGTGTAGCATCTCACCTTAGGAGTTGCATATCAGGTTTAAATACCTCTCTCTGGTTTTAAGACAAAGATCAGAAGATACAAGATAATGAAAATAGGAAAGAGGAAAAAAACAATGAAAGTTAATAGAAAAAAAAGCTGTCTGAGGGGAACATTCATCCACAACTGACTCATCAGATGTGACCACTGCCACTGTATTACTAGTTTCCAAAGCTCGGTCAGACCCATTCTCTATTTCCAAGCCCGAGCCAATCTCAACAGCTGCTACAAAACCATTGTCTAAACATCCATCATAGACTTTACTTGCAGCAACAACAACACTCTGCTTCTTTGGAGATGTTATCTCTGCTCAACACTGAGAATGGTCAACCTTTGCATGTTTGGAGCATATCTCCCGTATAGCACACTGTGCATTCTCCAAACATTCTTTAACAAATCTCATTGCGTCATTTTGTATTTTTATTAGTAATGTGCTTACTTTCTGAGTCAAATGCAGCAGCCTGCTGGGTAAGAAATTTCAAGTTTTCAACTTCAGCAGCTAGTCTTTTCAAATCAATGGCAGGAGCACAACTGCATGAATCTCCATGCACAATCCTGAGTTTACATCTGTACTGATTCAATGCTTGGCTCTGAATGCAGTCTGCAGGGATGTACAAGCAGGGATGTGCGTGAAGATATGTTAAGCCGCCCGCCTGTTGTTAAATTAAACAGGCTGGGTGGACAGATCTCCTGTGCTGGTAAACATGACCCTCTGCATGGGTGTACTCATCAGTACGCCTGTGTAAATGAGGCCTTATAATTTGACTAGACTTGATTTGTATGTATTTCCACTCTATACTTGGCTGTTTGCTTGGAATTCCTCTTGAAGGAACAACAATTAAATGATAATAATGCAATGCATGAAATACAAATAACTGTTAAATCTTTACTTACCCAAATAAGATGTAAAGACATGCTTACTTGAGGCTCACCACACGCATTACAATGGGTAGATTATGGCTGATTTCACGTCGATCTGTTTTTCTTCTGTTTTTGAGTTTTTTTTTAAAAAAAAAATGTATAACCATGTAATCCTATGGAACTCTTCACACTGATCCGGTACAGGTCCTCTGCGTTTATTAAAATCCTGCTTGCTGCAGGTTTGGTGCAGTAAAAAATTGCACCAAAAATTTACCTCCCCATTGAAATGCATTGAAACCATGTCAGAAACGCATAAAAGAAAATACACCTGCATTGCATTTTTGATGCGATATTTGAGTCACATGTCGTGAAAAACACACCGCAAATGCGGTAAAAATGCATATGCGTCTTTACCATGTTTTTGCTACGGATCAATGAGAAAGTAACCTTACTAAAACTGGTGCATTGAGAATCTGGTGCATCTGTGCATGGTAGCCAATCAGCTTTTAACTTCAGCTTGTTCAATTAAGCTTTGGCAATAAAACCTGGAAGCTGATTAGTTTTTATGCACCAGATTTTGCACTCTTCAGTTTTAGTCATTAACCCCCAATGTGACCATATAATCTCTGTACGTACAAATAAACTTTAGTTCTACCAAAACTTTGTAGTACAGTGGCCTACCTGAACTATTCAATTTAATTTAAATCCAAAGTGAAGGCTCTTTCAGGACAAACTTGTTGGTAGTTCTGAAGTAGGTTGTGAAATCAGATTGTAATGTGTGTGGTAGACTATACTTTTGATAATGCTTAACCAAAGGTGCCAATTCTGACATTTACAAATATGTTTTTAGCACATTGGAATGGCCCACAACTACAGAAACAGCAGCCAGGCTGTGCAAGCTGTAAGGGATGCAGGATATGAAATTGCTCTAGGCTTGATGCCAAAATCTATTGGACCTCTGACCTTTGTGTTTACAGGCACTGGCAATGTATCGAAGGTAAGGCAAAATTAATACTGAAAAATAAATGCAGGCTACAGCCACTTAACCGTTTTCTTGCAAAGACACTTTTTCAATGCTCCTATTTTGACAGTTTGGATGGGCAGAGTGCGGAGTGGGATACTTGCTTTTTGTAAGAAAAGTACTTGTAGACTCCATCTTGTATTTAGTGAGTTTAAAGTGACTTTGTCCTGGCCTATTAGTCCTAAATTATCAACAGTGCTCAAACTTCTGTGCCGAGTCTCGCATTACTTTATAGAGCCTCTTGGCTTCTAGGCTTGAGCTGTAAATAGGTCCTGGATCTTTCTCCAAGTTGAAAATGAGCCCACCCTTCCTATTGTTAAGCCCCGCTTACTGGCATACAGCTGTTAATCTGCTTCTTGCTAAGAGTCTGGCATTTGACATCTGGATGACAGCAGGATCTTTTGGGAGAATTTAAGGTTCTGTGTTCAGTCTGAGCCTTGGGCTCAGTGAGTGCCACAGAGACAATGGGATTGATTTAAAAATTTAGGTTATGCAATTCAGCTCTGTTCATACCTTAAGCACATTTTTTGGGCCAAGTCATGTTCAATGGAAATAATCTGGAAACATGGATTTCTGGTATATAAATCTCTGTATTTTTTTTTTTTTAGGGTGCACAAGAAATGTTTAATGAACTTCCCTCTGAGTTTGTTGAACCTCATGAATTAAAAGAAGTTTCTAAGACTGCAGGTAATGTGACACGCTTCAGAACATGTTGTTATGTAAGCACTTTCCATGACTCACGCTTTGTTGTTTCCTTTAGATCTCAGGAAAGTTTATGCAACTGTATTAAGCCGTCATCACCACCTTGTGAGGAAAACTGATGGAGTGTATGATCCTGTAGAGTATGAAAAGAACCCAGAATTGTATACATCTCGGTTCAACACAGATGTAAGTGATTTACACAAGTGCAAAGGGGTTTTACTTTTACAAATATAGCTAAAATACCTTCCCCACTTATGGCTTTACTAGGATAAGTGGGGCTCACAGTAGACAATTGCTGATCAGCTGTTTATATCTGCTTTAACCACTTAACCTTTCGGAAAGGTTGTACCCCCTTAATGACCGGAGCATTGTTTTGCTATTCATCACTGCGATACTTTAACTGGCATTGCTGTGTCATGCAACACTGTACCCAAATGATATTTATATATTTTTTTTCACACAAATAGAGCTTTCTTTTAGTGTCATTTAAAGTGATTCTAAAGGTTTATTTTTTTTAAAGAAAAAATAGCAAACTTGTATATACTTACCTGCTATGTGCAGTGGTTGTGCAGGAAGGAAAGCCCCGATCCTCCTCTTCTCTGGTCCCCCTTCGGCACTCCTAGCCCCTCCCTCCTGATGGGTGCTTCCACAGCAGCTTGGGGGCACCCGCTGCTCCTTGTGTCCATTCACATGGAGCCGTTGCTTGGTCCTGCCCCCTCTCTCTTCTCATTGGTTCACTGGCTATGATTGAAAGTGGTGGGAGCTGATGGCTCCTGCTTCTGTCTCAGCCAGTGAGAAGAGGGTGTTTTTTGGGATAGCCAAGACTCCAGTGCATAGCCGAGAGGGGGTTTAGGTGAGTATTAGGGGAGGCTGGGGGGGTTCTGCACAGAGAAGGTTTTTTTACCTTCATGCATAGAATGTATGAAGGCAAAAAAACCTTGAGCCATTAGGTTTTAGAACCATTTTAATCACCACTGGGTTTTTTATTTTTTGGTATATAAACACACACAATAAATAAATATATTACTGCACAGAATGCATTATTTTCTATGGGTTGGCTGACTGTCGGGCATTGTGCAGAAAAAGCACAAAAATTGTGGAGCAGGGTAGTGCATAAATATGGCTATCTCGTGCATATATAATTGCAAGCTATATACAGAAACAAGTTTGAATTTAAATTCAGCATAATCTGTCATCCTTTCCTGTTGTAATCTATGCAAATGTTTTGAAAACAATCATAAAAGTTGTGCTTTTTGTACCTACAGAAAGGCATTTCTTGTAATGGGGACCAGTCACCCCAGCAGGCTACCTATGTACTGTGTGACCTTTCATCTCAAAACCCTCTTGTACTTCTTCACATGTAGTGCTGGTGTCAGTACGGTGTTGCTTGAAAAACAGACAGGTTGTTCTCTGCCATTCCCAGCCTTGCCATTTAAATAGAATTTAGTGGAGCAACACTGTAAGAAGTAAACTAAGCCTCAGTTACTACAGCTATGCTGCCTCTTACAATGCAAGTCCAAGAGCAAAGACAAGGTTCTATCCTTCCCTGTCACCCTCCATACGCCTGCCAATAGCACAGCCTATTGGAGCCAACCCACAGACAGTTATGCTGCCTCTTACATTACAGGAGCTTGAGCAGTGGCTGGGGATTTCTTTCCCTCCTGTCACCACCCACACACCTAATTAAAGCACAACCAGTTAAAGCAAACTCACAGACATTTTATACAGGCAGGTCTGCTGCAGTTTTGCTGTCTTTGAAATTTTTAGTGCATGTCCAGTGATGGGCATGTTCTTTGCACATGTCTAGTTCACATACTTGCCCACAGCTAGAGCCAACCCTCGAATTACCTGTTTACAGAGGGCACTTGGGAGATTGCTGTCATAGTGGCTGCACCTATATGTGTAGGAACATAAGCATTTTTCAGTACTCTCTCACTGCTGGTGCCATGGAGACAAATATCCAGGATCATGTGATTACATTACATGGATTATCTAAAGGTAAAATCTCTTTCTTGAATATTAGCAACATTTCAAAATGAGCATACTCAACACATGGGATAGTGGCTGTGTATGTAAAATTACTATTGCCTATAGTTTACATTCTTATTATATACAATGTACATTTCTCAAAACACCTTTCAGGACAGCACATGAGAGAATGCAGCTCCTCCTCCACTCGCAGGAAACGTACACCCACTTAGACTTCAAATTTGAGGCCTCTCCCCACAGTCCTCAGCTATCGTGTTTCCTCCGGCCAGGTAAGAACACACAGGAACTATGGGGACTGCGTTTTCTCAGGTGCTGCCTGAAAGGGGTCTCTATTTTTCTTTTACCTTTTTTCCTGGCAGCAGGAGTCCTCCAGGCAGAGTCCCAGATGGGGAGGGGCCTCTTCCTGGCTCCACTCTCCCCTTTCAGTGCTCGGGGAGCCAGTATTGCCAGGTAGCCTGTAGCCCTGATGTCCCTGTGTGGGCAATGGAGGCGGGCATGTTTTTGGTGTCCAGTGGTGTCTGACATACCCGTGAGGTCACATCCGGGCAGGGGCGGAGCTTCCAGTCGGGCATGCAGTGTCAGTTCCGTTTGCAGGAGAAGGGGGCAGGTCTCAGCCAGTGCCTATTTCAGGTCCCGGGCCAGCGCTATGGCATTCCAGGATGCCGGGACCAGGAGACACAGCCACGTGGACAGGCTCTGCTATGGAGGAGTCAGGAGCAATTGCAGCTCCAGGGATAGGTGAAGGCACCGGTAAAGCCCAGGTTGGAGAGAGCTTCCTATGGGCAAACTGTATTATGCTGCTTTTCTTTTGGGGCACTGTGGTGTCTTTTTTTTTTTTTTTTTTTTTTTTTTTTTTTTTCCCTTGTGGCTGAGGGCTTGTCTTGTGCTGTGGATCCTGGGTGTCTGGGTGTGTGGGGTCAGTGCACTGGTGGTGTGGAGGTTTGGGCTCTGGTTACACTGGGTGCGTTTTGTGTGTTTAAGGTCAGTCAGTAGCTAAGTGGTTGTGTTCCTTGTGCTTTGTCTTAGGCTAAGGGCAGTGAATAGGAATCTAGCAAGAGGAGATGTCCTTCATGCAAGTGTAAATTGCCTGATGCTTGGAAAAAACCTTTATGCAAGGAGTGCGTTTCTGCTTTGGTAAGAGAGGAGGCCGTGTCAACTTCTAGTGATTTTCTAGCTTCCATGAAGGCTGAGTTGAGTGCAGCCTTGCGGTCTTTCAGAAATATGTTGGAGTCTTCTTCCCAGAGTCCTTCTGAGCCTACCCTCACACCACAATTATCAGCTTCCTTGGAAGCGTGGTCAGGGATACCGTCTGCTCTGGTGGCTGTCTCTCCTCGATCAGAGGGAGATTCAGAGGATAATGGGAAAGAGGCGGAGGATTCTAAATATATAAGCTGTTGCTAGAGGATGTAGAATATCTGCTTAAAGTGATTCATGCCACCTTAGGCATTAAAAAAGAGGAAAGAGATCTATCCCTCCATGATAAAATGTACCTGGGTCTTAGTGAGCCAAAAGGGAGATGTCTTCCTGTACATTCAGCCATCTCAGACATGATAAAAAAAGAATGGCAGGATCCAGAAAGGAAACAGGTTTTTTTCTATACCTCACCAGAGACTGTTCCTGTTTGAAGAGGACTCTTCATCAGTATGGAAAAAGTGCCTACGGTAGACGCCGCATTTTTCCCAAGTCTCAAAAAGCACAGACTTACGCTTTGAAGACATGGGGAGCCTGAAAGATGCTATGGATAGAAAAATGGATTTTGCTGTTGAAGAGAGCATGGCATTCCACAGTGGAGCATTTGAAGCTGGCTATGGCAGTCCCAAGCGTAGCAAGACATCTGGAGCATTTGCTGAACCAGCTTAAGGCGTATATCAGCGCAGGAATCCCAAAGGATGAGATTTTAGGTTCCTTCCCTACAATCACAAGAGCTGACAGCTCGTTCAGCTACTTTGTCTAACTTGGCAAGAAGGGCCTTGTGGTTAAAAACTTGGCAGAGGGATTCTACATCAAAAGTTAGGCTGTGTGAAATCCCTTTTTCAGGAGATATCCGCTTTGGGCCAGATTTATGATTTCATTTTGGATCGCACAAGAGACAGGAAAAAGTCTTTCCCTGTGAAGAAGATAAGACGAGTGCAAAAACTCTTTTTCCGCCCCCAGAGGAGCTTGTAGGCAGACAAATGGTCTGGGCATCATAGTAAGGAAGAGAAAAAGGAGGAGTCCTTTTCCGTACTCCTGCTCAGCCTGAAAATTTCCAGTGACCTGCTGCTCCCAGTGGGAGGAAGACTTCAGGCATTCCTTCCACAATGGCAGAGGATAACTTAGAGCCTGTATATCTGAAATCTTGTCAGCCACGGTTACGAGTGGGAGTTTGCAGAGGTCCCCCCCCCCCCAAGAAGGTTTTTTTTTTGTTCTGGATATTCCGAAGAATCCGGTGAAAACTCTTGCTATGCAGAACCTGGTTCAGGATTCAGGATGCAATCCGGTCCGGAAGAACACATGGGGTTTTTAATATATATATTTCTGGTGGGAAAACCATCAGGAAAATTCCGGTTGATCCTCAACTTGAAACCCTTGAAGAAAGCAGTGTGATGCAAGCGGTTCCGAATGGATTCAATCTTTTTGGTCAGAAACCTGCTGTTTCCAGATTACTTCATGGCATCAATCGACCTAAGGGACTTTTGAGGCTAATTCTGAGGTCAGGATGCAAGGTTCAGCACCTGTAAGTCAGGATATTGCCTTTCACAGGCTGTCATTATCTCCCCCATCTTCATCAAAGTGATAGCAAAAGCCCTAGCTCCCTTGAGATTTGGAGGTGTGATGGTAATTCTCTACCTAGACGATCTTCTGTTCCTGGAAAGCTCAGAATAGCAGTTGAGGAAGGACCTTCAGGTAGCCTGCAGCCATCTGGAAAGTCTGTGCTGGATTGTCAACGTGCAGAAATCCAATTTGACCACGTCCAAGAAGGTTTTGTTTCTGGGATTCTGCATCTGTTTAGCGGAACAAGGTGGTTTTTTTGGGGGGTTTTTTTGCCAGAAGAAAAGACGCAGAAAATACAGGCGGCTTTGACTCTTCTTCAAGGCAACCACCAGGTGTCAATCAGCTTTCTGATGTCAGCTGTGGGCCTGTTGACAGCCTCCATCCTGGCTGTCCAGTGGCCAAGATTACACTTCAGGTCCCTTCAACTATTCATCCTGAGAGCTTGGAATGGGGACTTGGAATTGTTGGACAAGAAAGTGAAGGTTCCCTCCAGGGTGAAGAGATCCCTGGTGGTGGAGGAGGCAGGAGGTTCTCTCCAAATATCTAGCCTGGTCCTTTCCGATGGAAAGAATCCTCACCACGGACGCCAGCTTCTGGGGCAGGGGGGGCACACCTGAGAGGTCAGCTCACACAGGGGCAGTGGCCGAGGCAGCAAAGGTCAAACTCCTCAAACTGGAGGGAATTAAAAGCGATTGCTTTGGCTCTTGTGGCTGTCTCTCAGGAGCTCCAGGGTCGACATGTGCAGGTCTGCACGGACTTCAAAGTCTGATGGTAGAAGTTGTGACTTGGGTCAATTTGGCATCCTTGTCAGAAGTCCATCTCAGAGGCTTGCTGAACATAGTAGCTGACTTCCTGAGCAGACACCAGCTGAAGGAGGGAGAATTGTGTCTAAACCAGGAAGTTTTCCTCAGCTTTGTTCAGGAATGGGGTAAACAGCAAATCGATCTGTTTGCGAATCGTCAGAATACTGACAAATCGTCTTTTCCCTGAACAAGGAAGATGGAGCAGTAGGGATCGATGCTCTCGCTCAAAGGTGGAGCTTCCAGCTGTGCTACGCCTTTCCCCCCTTCCAACTAATTCCTTTGCAGAAGCTGCAAACAGAGTTCACGTCATTTTCGTGGCTCCCTTCTGACCGAAAATGTTGTTGGTAACACTCCTCCAGTTGTCAATTAGACCATGTCAGACTCTTCCATTCAGGAAGGACCTGCTACTATACAAGGTCCTCTCTGCTACCCGAAAGTGGAAAAATCTACGCCTCAGTGTGGTTTCTGAAAGGCAACTGCTAGAAAAGAAAGGGTTCTCAAAACGCTTAGCACACACTCTCCTAGCAAGTCGTAAGAGGATCACGAGAGCTATCTATAGGAAAGTCTGGAAGAAGTATAATTCTTGGTGCCTAACAATTCAAGGTCCTTGGAAGATCTCACCTCAGTCCTGTAGTTTCTTCAACAAAGAGCTGACAAGAAGTTAGCAGTCAGCATGCTAAAAGCCCAGGTGGCAGCTTTGGAGGTCTTTCTGGAGCGTTCAATCTTCTTGGACCCCCTAGTTATCAGATTCTTCAAGGCCTTGTCTCGATCCAGAATGATTAATACAAAAGCTTTCCCTAAATGGGATCATTCACTAGTCCTGCAAGCTCTGACCAAGTCTCCCTTTGAGCCTTTTAGATTTGGCGACCCTGAAGTATATCACACTGAAGACCGTTGCAGGCATTCTCAGTCAGAGAATCCTTTCTAATTATCTATCCAGATGGGATTGTAATCAGAACCGATCTAGCCTTCCTCCCAAAGGTATCTTTGATTTATCACTGCTCTCAAGACATTATTTTGCCAAACTTTTGTCCTAAACTGCTCAGGGGAGAAGGAAGGAAATTTTCATTTGTTAGACGTGAGAAGAAACGTTTTACGTTATTTAGAAGTAACTAAGGATTCCAGGAGTTCTGAATCTTTTTTTTTTTTTCATTTTGTTTGAGGGGACTAAAAAAGGGGCAAAAAGCAACTAAAGCATCCATTGTCAGATGGTTGAGAATGGTAATCATATCAGCCTATGAACTTTCTGTTCTCGTTCCACCACTGGGCATTCATGCTCATTCCAAAAGAGCTCTAGTAGCCACATGGGCAGAAAAGGCCAGTGCTACCCCAGAACAAATTTGTAAGGCAACAACGTAGTCAAGCATGTCCACCTTTTTGTACGCCATTACAGGCTGGATTTGTTGTCGGCAGGAGAGCAGGCCTTCGGTAGGAATGTCTTGGAAGCTGTGGTCCCACCCTAAGGGGCTAAGTTCTTATTTATCCTCTCATGTGCTGTCCTGAGAGACGTTTTGAGAAAATCCAAGTTAAACTTATAGGTAACTTGTCTTCTAGTAGTCTTTCAGGACAGCAATAATTGCCCACCCTGATATTATTTATGCTGTTGTGCTTATGTTTTCCTATGGGCCGGAGGTACTCTTTAACAAATGAGAACTGTGGGGAGAGGCCTCCAATTTGAAGTCTAAGTGGGTGTGTTTCCTGTGAGAGGAGGAGGAGCTGCGTTCTCATGTGCTGTCCTAAAAGACTACTAGAAAACAAGTTACCGGTAAGTGTAACTTGGATTTTTTTTTTCTATACCAATAATCTTGTCCTAAAGTTGTTGTTCTGTTAATGTCACATCTATTTTAATATGCATTCCCTTTTTAGAAACGTATAACCGCTTAATCTTTTGCATTAATTTGTAACTGCTCTTGCAAGTTTGAAGAGATTTCTAGTATTTTGTGTGATTTTTTTTTTTTTTTTTTTTTTTTTTTTTTTTTTCCCTAAAAAAGATTGCTCCGTATACGACATGCTTGATTAATGGTATTTACTGGGATCCACATACTCCACGTTTACTGAACAGGCAAGATGCTCAGAGGTTGCTTGCTCCTGTGAAGTCCTCATCAGTTGCCACAGAGGGATGTCCGGAGCTACCACACAAGTAGGCATTGCCACTATATTGTACTTCTGATTTGCATGGGGCAAAAATATAATTTATTCCCATGGTCAAATGCAGACACTTTTACTTGAATAGATGTGAAGGTTTGTTCCAGTGTGGTCCATGAGAACAGTATTGCTTCCCTGTCATTTGTTTAAAAACACAGTTTCTGTTTCTATTTTTCTGCATTGCCTGTAAAAGCAGATATAGTGGAACTTTTTAAATTGTGTTTGTTTGTCTAGACTTCTAGCCATCAGTGACATCTCCGCCGACACCGGGGGGATCTATAGAGTTTATGACCGAGTGTACCACTATCGATATGCCATTTTGCATGTACGATGCTGATCAGCATATCATACATGACAGGTAAGTTTTGTGTGGCATAGAGCATGGATTGCTACATTGATCTTTTCAGTAAAATATCCTACATGTTTTCTCTTCTAGTGTTGAAGGTAATGGTATACTGATGTGCTCAATTGACAATTTACCAGCTCAACTTCCAATTGAAGCAACTGAATATTTTGGAGATATGTTATTTCCTTACATAGAAGAAATGGTAAGGCCTGTATAGGGATTTCTGTTGGGCACCTATACCAAGTCAGTTTTTTTTTTATTGTTGATTACTTTTCCTTTTATTGACCTCCATTCAGGCATTATATCAGTTTTACTAAGTAAATTGTAAAAGATCCCATTAGACTACTGTGGTTTGCGCATACAAATAAATACTGATTTGGCCACTCATTGTCCAGTCAAACTTGAACAAGGCAGACATCTGCTACTAAAGCCAAATTGTAGGGTCATACAGATGGCACTAGACATGCACATTCACACGAAGTCCTCCATATAACTAGGCTTTTCCAATTTCCCAGCCCGTTTAATGTTAATTGGTGACTGACCATATATTGATTTGTTTCCCATGTATAGGGAGATCAATGATCCATTCATTCTAAAAAGGCCTGATCTGTCCTAACAAAAAGCTTGCATATCAGTACCTATTTGTGACTTTGTTGTAACCTTCAACATTTGAAACTAAAAAAACACATATCACGCTCCACCAATGATCCACCTAAATCTTGCCCGTCATTTTATTAAATGTAGGCAAACTACACCCATATTTGACAATCGTAGAGTTCTGAAATATACAAACATTTTTTCATTTGTTGCTAATTGCATGAAAAAATGGGTGACTTCAGCCTATTCCCTGACAACATTGGAGGATGGGGATAAAAAGGAGGTTGGGGATGGAGGTACACCAGGGATATTGTATGGGTCATATGGCAAAAGTAGAGTGTAGACAAAGCCTATAGCAGGAATGGGAGCAATGCCAAAGACACATGAGAGACTAGTTTTGGAAGTTCTGATGATGTAGTCATCAGAACGTTATGGTGGTAATTTACTAAAGCTGGAGTGAAAAATCTGTTGTAGCTCTGCATAGAAACTAATCTGCATCCAGGTTTAATTGCCAAAGCTTAATTGAACACGTTGAACTTGCCATGTACAGCTGCACCAAATTCTGAGTGCACCATTTTTAGTAAATCTACCCCTAGGTTTAAGCACCTGGACAGGAATAATAATGTTTTTTTTTTTTTTTTTTTTGGTTTTTTTTTTTTCCCCATATAGCTAATGTCTGATGCTACAAAACCACTTGACAAAGAGAATTTTTCTCCTGTTGTAAGAGATGTAAGTATTCTGATATTGATTCCCCCCCCTTCAGTTGAGAGTGCATAGATTTGTGTTAAGCATGTTTTATTATTCCAGGCAGTGATTGCATCCAATTCCTCGTTGACACCCAAGTACAAATACATACAGAAGCTTAGAGAGAGCAGGTATAGTGTCTTAATTAAACTTTAAATTATATATATTCTATATATATATATATATATATATATATATATATATATATTTGCATGTGTACAAGTGATAAGGGTACTGTCATATTATCAGTGTGTTTTTAATTTGTTAGAATCCTTGTTATGATGCACAACAATTGCTTTTTTCTTGCTTTTTCTCAGTGCAAGTTTGTTGGTGAAAGCAATGCAATCCCAATGTGTATTATTCTCTTATGTCATATCAGTGACTCCGTTTGCATATATAGTCACTGCTTGAACTGCAAATAGCTACTAAAGGAACAATATTCCAGTCTCTATGTGAATTGTAGTCATACAAATATACAACAGTAGGGATGTCAAATAGGAACTTAACTCTGGGGGGGAAAAAAGACAGGAAAAAGTCATCAGTGTTGCCTGCAGTCTCCTTGCAGCTGATCTTACCCCACTATCGGCTTACCATGCCTTGTTATGCACTGTATCTCTCCGTGGAGGCGGTCATCTTCACAGAGGCACAGCTTTACTTTTATACGTCAGAGCCTCCAGCAAGAACAGTGGATGGCACAATAGTGATATCTCTAGATCTCACTTTAAATCTCCTGAGAGTAGCAGTCAGAGGCAGCAGAATCTTAGAGCTCACTATAGATTTACAGATAGGATTCTTTAGGCATGCTCACATACCAGGAAATGTACTAGTTTTAGGAAATTTTAGGCAAAATGTAATTTATTTTAGGGTACTGCTTGGGCATGATTTACTACTTCTAGATCAGTGTTTCTCTACTGGGGTTTGTGCGGAACACGAGAGGTCCTCAGGGGTTCCACCATGATCTACCTGTCCATCACAAGCAGGTGACTGGTAGATTGCATCCCCACATAGCTGACAGTCATGCTGCAGAGAGAACCAACTTGGATTATTGTTCTGTGTCGATCCCAACCAGCCCTCCCCTCCTGTCCATCCCAGGTGCCTGTGTGCTAGAGGCAGGGATCAGCACACCACATATGATCCAGCAGCTTTCCTGAGCTACTCTGCATGAGAAAAACCACTACAGACCCCAGTGCCTTTTCCTCCTGGCCCCCCTGTACTGTGCTATGCTCTCCTGTCTCTCCCTATACTGTTCCCTCATGGCCCCCTTATACTGCTCTCTCCTGGCTCCCCTGTACTTTTCTCTCTTGGTTCCCCTATACCAGTGGTCTCCAAACTGCGGCCCGGGGCCCGATGAGGCCCTTGGCTTGCTTTTATCTGGACCTTAAGGCACTATTTTTATGCACTGATACCAACAATGGGCATAAATCCCTCCACTGACACCAATTATGGGGCAATATTTCCTCACAATGACACCAACAATGGGGCCCAATGATGGGGCACAATTCCTCACAATAACACCACGATGGGGTGCTATTCCTCCCACTGACACCGACAAAGGGGCATGGTTTACTCCTAATGACATCTGGACCTTTTCTACTCCCACTGGCCACAGTCCAGCCCCATTGAAGTCTAGAGGACCGTAAACTGGCCCTTTGTTTAGAAAATTTGGAGACCCCCTTCCCTATACTGTTCTCTCCTGGATCCCCTATACTGTTATCTCCTGTGCTGTTCTGTCCTGGCCTCCCTGTACTGTTCTGTCCTTCTGCCCCCCCCCCCCGCCCCCGTACCCCCCTTCTGCCGCCGCCCGCCCCCCCGTACTGTTGCCTTCTGCTGCCGCCGCCAACCCCGTACTGTTGCCTTCTGCTGCCCCCCCGTACTGTTGCCTTTTGCCGCCCCCCCCCCCCCCCCCCCCCCCCGCCCCCAGTATAGAGGACCGTAAACTGGCCCTTTGTTTAGAAAATTTGGAGACCCCCTTTCCTATACTTTTCTCTCCTGGATCCCCTATACTGTTATCTCCTGTGGTGTGCTCTTCTGTCCTGGCCTCCCTGTACTGTTCTGTCCTTCTGCCGCCGCCCCCCCCCCGTACTGTTGCCCTCTGCCGCCCGCCCCCCCCGTACTGTTGCCCTCTGCCGCCTGCCGCCGCCCCCCCCCGTACTGTTGCCCTCTGCCGCCGCCCCCCCCCCCCGTACTGTTGCCCTCTGCCGCCCCCCCCCCCCCCCTACTGTTGCCCTCTGCCGCCGCCCCCCCGTACTGTTGCCCTCTGCCACCCGCCGCCAACCCCGTACTGTTGCCTTCTGCTGCCCCCCAACCCCGTACTGTTACTTGCCTTCTTCTGCCGCCTTCCCCCCCCCCCCCCCCCCCCCCCACTGTTGCCTTCTGCCGCCCCCCCTCCCCCCCCCCCCCCCCCGTACTGTTGCCTTCTGCACTCCCTCCCCCCCCCGTACTGTTGCCTTCTTTGCCGCCCCCCCCCCGTACTGTTGCCTTCTTTGCCGCCCCCCCCCCCCCGTACTGTTGCCTTCTGCCGCCCCCCCCCCCCCCCCCCGTACTGTTTGCCTTCTGCCGCCCCCCCCCCCCCCGTACTGTTGCCTTCTGCCCCCCCCCCCTCCCGTACTGTTGCCTTCTGCCCGCCCCCCCCCCCCCCCCCCTGTTGCCTTCTGCCCCCCCCCCCCCCCTGTACTGTTGGCTTCGTGCCCCCCCCCCGTGCTGTTGGCTTCGTGCCCCCCCCCGTGCTGTTGCCTTCGTGCCCCCCTCCCGTGCTGTTGCCTTCGTGCCCCCCCCCCCCGTGCTGTTGCCTTCGTGCCCCCCCCATGCTGTTGCCTCCTGCCCTCCCCCATGCTGTTGACTCCTGCCCCCCCCCCCCCCCCCCCGTGCTGTTGCCTCCTACACCCGCCCCCCCCCCCTCTGTACTGTTGCCTCCTCCCCATACAGTTTTTTGTTTTTTTTCTCCTTGCCCCCCTGTGCTATTTTCTACTTGCCCCCCGTCATATAAACTATATTAATCACCCAAATGCTTGATTACTACAAATCCACTATAACTTTTCTTTAAAAATAATTTGTAATTTGACTAATAAACAAGATTTTACCATCAAGTTAACATCTACTTAATATGTATTTTAGTTTAGGTATGCTTACATTTAGTTTCTATGGTTACCTGGTTCAAATAGTAAAGCCATATTCTTTATAGTAATATTTTTTTTTATATTGCCTCCTAATGAAATTAAACTTATGTTGTTTTTGGTGTTACATAGATAAGTGAGATTGATAATAAGGATTTGATAAAGGCAGAATAATGTCATAGGTCGAGACACAGCTGTTAATAAGATGTAGATGGAATTGTATAGAAGCTAACCGATAACCAAATATGTAAAGAAATTCTCACAATAGTTGTATACAAATAATACACAGTGGCTGGACATAAACATCTGTGTACTGATAAGATTGGGGAGTCAGTCAGTACTTTTTGTTGCCTTTGCCTCATTTTCACTATTGATTTCTGTTCTTGCTATATAAGCCTCTATCCATGTTTGCTGTAATAAATTGCCTAAACTGGTATAACTGTGGACTTTTGAGTATCTATATATAACTATTTGTGCTTAAATATGATATGAAAAATTATACTACAGCTCTCTAGATGGGCAGGACTAGAATGGACAGCTGGCAGAGCACTTTACCTCTCCAGCAGCTGTCTTTTACGACTGTAGGGTGCAGTGTGTTGCACGATTCAGCTCTTTTCTTTTTGTTTCATGTCGCTGTTGAAGTGCTGCACTGCATGCTATGTTGCAGTATGAATGGGACACACAGAAATTGTTTTCCGTGTGTCCTTGCGGTGACATGCATTTTACAGTGCGGTAAAACGCCATGTGTGAATTCTGTGGAAGTCTTAAAGCTTTGATTTTTTTTTTTTTTCTTTGTACATGAAAGAATACAAATATAACAGAAAATTTTGTCTCAACCACAGAGAATATGCTCAACTGATGACAATGGGAGCCAAGAAAAGGATACTGGTGCTCGGATCTGGTTATGTTTCTGGACCTGTTATAAGCTATCTCACACGAGATCCTAATGTGGAGATAACTGCAGGTGATAATGTGATCCTTTTGGTAATTAATTGAAATGTTTGTGTCTGCTCCTCTAAAGATATTCTGTGCCTTGCTTAGACTATGAAAATAACAGGTTTTATTGAAGGCTGTCAACACTAGGAGTTGACACTTATGTTCCTCATGCTCTCCCTATATGCCACAGCAGCACCCACAAATTCCAGTGTTCAATCTAACAAAGTTGAAACTTTCCCAGGGCTATGCATGTATCCTCCACCCCTCCATGTAACAGTACTTGGACTGTGCCATGTGTTGCTCCAGAACTGGAAGTACAAGTTATTTTTATTTTTGGGTTCTAAAAGAGCATGTGCAGTTTCTGAGCAGACTGTCACCAGACCCATGTGTTTATATGTATTGTTTTTCTGTGTCAAAAATGTCAGTAGAGCAGTTTCTCAACTCTTGTTCCACTATGCAGATGAATCTGTTCATGTGTGGTTTACTACACTGGCACTACTCCAGTGTTTACTACACTGGTTCACTACACTTCATCTTTGACCAACTTATCCTCAATAATATCTAATTTTGAAAATTGTTCTCAGTCCAAAGGAAAAGGATGTTTTGAGGTATCTCAAGGTAAAAATAATGTGGATTAACGTTTGCTACCCCCCATCCTTTTATTTCTTCAGTCTATTAAAAAAAAAAAAGCCTTGTTAGCCTCATCAAAGTGACAGTGACATTATAAAGACAATCCCCTTCCCTTCTGTCCTTCCCTGACAGCAACATAAAGATAATACAATATATATTTTGGAGCTGAGGAATAACTAGGCCAGCTTAGACAGTAATTGGACACCCCCAAAAGAAGAGCAGACCATGAGATAAAAAGGAAAAAATGTTTATCAAAAGGAAATGTGCTCCTGTTAGGCTTTTAAAGTCATTTATCTGTGCTTTTACTTGCAAAAGTTGTTGGCAGGGTCTCTTTAAATAACCCCATCCACGGTTAAGTGTAGGGAAGCAATAAGCTTTAGTCTTAGGATCCCTGTTAAAAAGGAGGATCCCACCCTTTCCTGAATCACAGGACCCCTAAGCTGTTGTCACGTAGCCAATGACTAAGTGTTTGGTCATGTGACTGACTAGGATTAGGGCCCAGATTAGCCTGAAAGCATGAAATACTGTACATATCTTTTCTTGTAAAACTGCTGCTCCAGGATTAAAGGTAAATATTTTAGCCTTCTGTTATGATTTGTGACCGTAAATGAGTTTGGATAGGCGTATTATAAATTCAAAAAAAGAGATGGAAGTGTTATTTTGCAATAGGTCCACTTCTATTACAAAATTTTCAATCCTAACATCATGCAATATGTGGCAGGAATATTTAAATATGACTAGTTGTGTGTTGCCAAATTAATGCAGAGCCATGCACATCAGTGTATTAGTGTATTTTGGTTATGATAAACGTATAACTGTTTTTTTCTTTTTCTGGAATCCTTTTTTTTTTTTTTTTTTTCCTTCCTTCCATCAGTTTCCATGATAAAAGATCAGGTGGATCACTTGGCAAAGAAGTACAACAACACTACACCACTCGCTATGGATGTCCTGAAGAGTGAAGAGAAGCTATCTTCTATAGTAAAGAAACATGATCTTGTTGTCAGGTTACTATCGGCTTGTTTATGTAGAGGAACCTACTTTCATTTAATAATTTGTGCCGTCCTATTGAGATATAGTGAGAAACCATCTTCAAGACCAGTACCCCTAAATAAATAACAGAATCCACAGAAAAGTTAGCAGGGAACGCTTAAAATATTAGCACAAAATGCTGTATACTATATATGTCAGCTACAGTCCTAAAAGCTTTTGTAACACAGGTACAGCGTTCTTACCCTTCTTGTAACTGATACTTATTATTAAAATGTCTCCAGAAAGGGTTATATTTTGTGGCTCATGGCAGTAATCTATATTATTTAAGGAACAAGGGATGAAAAAAGAAGACTCTGTTTACTGTGGGCAACAAGAGTTGTTCATTTTTTTGTTTTGTTTTGTTTTTTTTAGGCACTGATCATAAGGACCCTAAAAATCATCCAAGGTTCAATAGTATAGTGTAGATAATTATGCAAAAAAAAAAAAAAAACTGTGGCAAAAGCCATTGGAAGTGTTGAAAAATAAAATAAAAATCACAAATAGAATAAACATGAATAATAGAATGAATAATAAAGCTATCCATAATGGTTTGCTTAAAGTACTATTGCCAGAAGAAAATAAAGCTTGTTAAACCCCCTAGGGAATCCTAAGCACCAACCATTTGTTCCATCTAAATGTTTGCAGGGGTTGCTGAGCTGTGCTGTCGGAAAACTCGCCTAGCTATATATAACACTGATCAACTGAGATGGATTTCTGAGTGACAGTTTAAAGAATTCAAGGTGGGTGTGACAGGAAGTGCACACCAAGACCGCATGGCCCCCACACCCCTCTCTTGTGCAGCGCTGTCTCCTCCTCTATCCTGTTTAGTTTATACGGAGTCCGGACCTGCAGCCAGCTATTCAGGGCATAGAGAGTGTAAACTGTCAACTTGTGTTGTGGAAGATTGCAGTTGAAGAAAAGGGCTTTTATTCACAAAAACAAGCTGAGAACAACACAACCCAGGTACTACACTAGGCTGTTTCAGAAAAGCATAGTATCTGGCTTGTGCTGTTGTCAGCTTGTGTTTGTGTAAATTAAACTTTTTTTTCTCTAGTTACAATAATTGTAAACACAAGCTGACAATTCCCATACTCTCTAGGAAGGAGACACATAACTGCAGAATGGAGAGGGGGCAGGACTCAGTCCTGCTGTAACTCCACCCATGGGAACATCCATATTTTTGGTATTTATAACATTTGGGAACTTTCAAAGCTCTGATTTTTTAATGGGAGTAAGTACTATGTGCACAGGCACCCCTTTTGAGAGTTATCAAGCTTTGTTTTCTTCTGGTGATAGTTCTTCTTTAAGTATGTATCAGGTCTCTGCTTCTTTTTTTCTGACAGGGATGGTGCCTTGAAACATGCTGGTGGGGACTTCTTTGCAGCTGGAGATGTGTATACAGTATATTTTACTTGTATTGCATTACACCTTAGCTGAGGGAGCATGAGATCACATAATATATCATTTATAATAGGGTTTTTTTTTTAATTGTTCTGCTTTCATGCTTTTCAGTTTACTGCCCTACTCTGCACATCCAATAGTGGCAAGAAAATGCATCAAGGAGAAGGTGAACCTGGTGACTGCCAGCTATTTGACCCCTTCTATGAAAGAGCTGCAGCAAAGGTATGCTACATTTATGGCAATCTTTTCATTCAGACATGTCTTTTCTAATCCTTCGATCGTGGCTTTCAAAGCAACAGTAATAAACTTGTATCGGGTAGTTAGGAGAAACCATATACAATTAAATAAACTGTTTCAAGATAACCTGAAGTGCATTTGTTGGTCATTTAAAGATCTTGTGTTCTGTTTTCCTTTGTGTTGCATACCTTCTCAGTAGGTAAGTAGTAACAATGGTGCCCAGCTGCACAGTGCTTCTTTCCTTTTATTTGTCTGGCATAGTGATCATGGCTCTGGTCTTGCTCATCTGACTGCAATCCATGCTGTCTTTCCAAAATTTTAGGAAGGATGAAATAAAGTTGCATTATTTAAATAGTATCTCCAATTTTGTTGAGAAAACAAAAACATCCCTTCTGTTGATGAATATACATTGAAAGGATTTTAACAAACGTAGCAGATTTCTACCTGTTTATGCTCTGAAGAAAAAGCTGTTTAGTCTACTATGTAATTTGGATACTGTTTTTGAAGGCAAGTGATTTAATTCATTGTAATCAGTTGGTTTACTTGGTGTTCTGATGAGAAAGTGCCTATATCGCTTTAGAAGCGATTAACTCATAGCCTATGTTCACACTATGGTGTACACATGTCACTAGTACAACAGCCCATTCATTTGAATGAGCTACTGTACCCGTGAAAAAATGCTAATAAAGAAGAAAACTGAACCTTTTCTAAAAACCTACAGCATGGAACATCTTGCTGGCATCATATGGTTTCACACAGATGAAAACGTGCCACATTTTCTGATGCGTGGGGGAGCCATTAGAAAGTATTGACACCCCCGTGTGTCTGCTTAAGAATAGTGCGTTTTTTCCTGATTATGCAAGTGTTCCCGACCCGCAAATTCAACATTAGGGAATGTCTCAGAAGAAATTACATTTTTGTTGCAGTGGATGCCTAAAACTGACTTGTATGTATGTAGCATATATACTGTATATGCTATATTAATTTAAATTATTTGCCATATTATTTTTCCCACGAAAGTAGAGTTACCCTTTAAGTTAGAATTATTGCATTTGTACATGGTGAATGATAAAATTGCTTACTCAAGAGAGAACTTTACTCAGTTATTTCTCTCCATTTAAAGTGTTACTAAACTCATGACCATGCATTCACTAGATCTGGTCTCCCATAGTACACAGCACATAGAACTGAAATTTTTAGTAATTATAAACTGCTAAATATCTTTTCTCATCGGCAGTATATAGCAGTCCTGTAACTTCTATCAGTGTCCAGCTGAGCACTGGTTAAAGCTTGTAGGTGAAGCTTTCATTCTGCTCTGACTGTCCTATGAGTCTGAATAACCCCGGACCCTCTGTCTGGATGATGCTGATTTGTCCCTGTGCTGATCACATGCACCCTTCCAAAGAAGAAAAAAAACTCTCTAGCAATACACACTAAACTGAGCATGTGTAGAGTGACTCCTAGAGCTCTGTACTATCACTAGATGGATAGGGGAGGATAAAAGAAGACAGATCAAACAGCCTTTTTACACAATGTGGAGGATTAATCCCTTAGCTTCCACAGTGATTATAACCAGCATGCTTTACTGCACATACAGACTGATTTTACTGTTGTGGGTTTAGTAACACTTTAAGATGCTTTTATATAGGTTAATTATTGGTCATTTTAGGCAATTTTTTTTATGAAGACAGTCTGGCAATATATGGAGGAAAGTTGACATGAATCAATATTGAATGGCCAGGATGAGAGTGTATTTTGGCAACCACACCAGAAATGTTAATTTTCTTCATATTCATTAGGGCTGTTTTTAGCATCTTTCTGTAGTGTTGGGAGGTGAACAATAGCCAGGTAGAGCAAGATAAGACACTGGATTTGTGTATGCTAGTGTCCTACTAAAGGCTATGAATGGATCACCAACACACAGAGAAAATGATGCAAGGAAAAAAAGACTGCCAGAAAATTAAAGTACAACTAAAGTTTTTGTTTTTTTTTTTTTTTTTTTTTTTTTTTTTTGTTTGTTTGTTTTGATTTTTAGACTATTAATTAGAACTCTGATTAAGGTAAATTTTAAGTGACCTTCTTATTTTACCATTGTTGATCTCTTGCTAAGATAGCATTAGTAGCTGATTACATTTACTGTTGCTTGCAGCTGTACAATAATATGTTTAATAATACTGTATATTATGTAGTCTTCATATGCTAAAATATGAGGAATTACATGGAAATCTTCCATTCATTTTGCAGGCAATCAATTCTCAAGTATTTGGTTTGCATTCTTATGCTTTTTGTGCAATGTGTTGCAGTGCTGAAGACTCTGGAACAACAATAGTTGGTGAAATGGGATTGGATCCTGGCCTTGATCATATGCTAGCCATGGAATGCTTTGATAAAGCTAAAGATGTGGGAGCAACTGTAGGTATTTACACAAATATAAGCCTTGCATTAGGAAATCTTGTTTTAAAAGAATCTGTCAAAACTAAACATCTGTCTTATAAGTCTCCGATGGAAGCCCACACTCTAACTCCACCGCAGCAGTAGTGACATCAAGGGCAGTGTAGATACATTAGCTTTGCTGCCCCAGAGCTACTATGCACACCGTGAGTCTGAGAATGGCTGCACCTGCTAAAGGATTCTGGGATGGGTTTTTGCTTTTTCACTTATTTCCTTAATGCTCAACCTAAAGTGGAAGAAAAATAACTATTCTTAAAAATGCTCCCTCCTACCTCTTCCTCCTACCTATCCTTCCTAACCGGTATAAAAAAAAAACATTTGCATACTTGCCTACTTTTAATCTGGTCTGGTCACGTGATCCTCCAACTCAGGGAATGCTTGACAAGAGCTGGGAATTCTGGGAGCCATGTTATAGATGTCCATGGCCCAGCTATTGCCAATGCTTCTTCCTTTCCCCTGCAGCAGCTGCTCACTGACACAAGGGAGCTGTAGCTGCGGGATTACATGAAAGAGTGGATTAAAAATAGGTAAGTACACACACACTTTTTTTTTTTTTATATAAACAGTTTGGGCAGTATAGGTAGAAGAAGGGGGAGGGAACCTTTTCAGGAATGCTTAAACTCAGGCTTTTCTTTAATTCACAGGATACACCCATGACCGCATTTTTTTTTTTTTTTAAGTAGTTTTACTTTAGGGGAACAGTAACTCTGGTTAGGACAAAAATACTAGCTCTCCAGCGCCTCAAATGGGTCAATACCAGGGAATCTGATGTATGAGTGACCTATGGACAAAGTCCCGGAGATGCAGCCCTCCTCAGATGGGGAGATCAACGAACTGGAAAAAAGCAAACAGGTGGTGCCACTTCAGCTCTCAGGACAGGGACATGTCCCCGAAATGCGTCAGCAGCAGGCCGACCATAGCACCAGTCGGACACTCTGCCATCCTTTTGGCCATCACTGTGGCCTTACAGGCTTTTTGATGCGCTACGTTTGTGAATGTTTTTTGTCTCTTTAAACATTTTAACCACCTCCCGCCCGGCATATAGTAATATGACGGACACAAGTTGGTTCTCTCATTCTGGGAGGACGTCATATGACGTCCTCCCATTCTCACCGCTCATGCGCGGCTCAGGGAGTGTGGCGATCGGCGGTGTGCTGTGTCCCTTGGACACAGCGGATCACCGATCACGGAAAGAGCCGAAGATATCGGCTCAGTCATGTGATCAGCTGTGTCCACATGTAAACAGAGAAATGCCGGTTATCGGCATTTCTTTCCTCTCGAGCTGTCACAGTGACCGCTCGAGAGGAGAGGAGAGCCTGTAATCTGCTTTCGGCGGAGGGGACATGTACACTGATCATCAGGGCACTGATGATCAGTGTGCCCTGATGATCAGTGTAGCCCCAGCAGTGCCACCTGTCAGTGTCCATCAGTGCTCATCAGTGCCTCGTGCCAGTGCCCATCAGTGCCAGTGCCACATCAGTGCCTATCAGTGCACATCAATGCCACATATCAGTGCCCATCTGAGCTGCCTTTGTGTCACCCATCAATGCCACCTATCAGTGCCATTCAGTGCCGCCTAACAGTGCCATATATCAGTGCTGCCTTTCAATGCCCATCAGTGCCACCTATCAGTGTCCATCAGTGCAGCATATCAGTGCCCATCAGTGCAGCCTCATTAGTGCACATCAGTGAAGGAGAAAAATCACTTATTTACAAGATTTTATAACAAAAACTAAAAAAAATTTGTTTTTTTTTTTCACAATTTTCAGTGGTTTTTGGTTTAAGAAAAAGTAAAAAACCCAGAGTTGATTAAATACCACCAAAACAAAGCTCTATCTGTCACAAAAAATGAAAAAAATTTCATATGGGTACAGTGTTGCGTGACCGTGCAATTGTCATTCAAAGTGTGACAGCGCTGAAAGCTGGAAATTGCCCTGGGCAGGAAGGGGGTAGAAGTGCCCTGTAGGCAAGTGGTTAATAAGCCTTGAATAATGCTCTAAGTGTTTGCACCACCTGTTTGATTTTTTTTTTCCAGTTTTTTTTTTTTTTTTTTTTTTTTTTTTTTTTGGAACAGCAACTCTGGTATTTAGATTTCTTTTATGTGTATAAACCAGTAAAGGTCAAAATTGATTATTTTGTCCTGGGTAGATTGAGGCTTCTTTTGTTGAATTACTAAAGTTGTCTGCAGTGTTGAAGGGCAGATGTCCCTAACTCTGATGCACTTTATGCCAGACAGTAGTATTCGCACCAAGCTAGATTCATCAATTCCCAGGATAGATGAAGCAGAGATAGGATGAGGTTTAGGGACTGATGTGAAATGTACAATATATTTGTAAAGTACTGCGGAAATTAACAGCGCTATATAAGTACCTGTAGTAATAATAGTAATTTCAGCCTTCCACTGCTTGATTCTCCACTAGGATAGGGAATTACAATCTTCTTCAAATCTGCCCAAAATGGAATAATTCATTTTGGAAGGAGCGTTCCTTTTTAAAAGACAAATGTAAACTGAAGGTGACAGAAACAAAAATTATGTTGTATTGTTTTGGGACTGCACACAAGTGAACATTTTTATATTTATATACTGTATATAGTATACTTTCCAAAACTATTGATTTGCCATTTCAGATTGGGGGAACCACACATACTGGAATTGATTTGCTAAAGGCGTAGATCATGCTCACTTTTTCTAATACATTGTAAATGTGAAGCTTTTTTTTTTTTTTTTTTTTTTTTTTATAATGGCATAGAGCTGACCTATGCTGCATTGCACATGTGCACTTCAGATTTAGTTTTAGATCAATATATTGCCTCCTAAGAGTTTTTTGATAAAAATGAAGAATACAAGAAAATTTAGGGAGAGTATTAAAAAGTTTGTAGATAGAATACTATATTAAATGGTTGTATCATGTAAATATCCAAACCTAATTGTGTACAAAGCAGCAAACACACCAAGAGGAGATCCCCTCTAAATCACAAATCAAATAAATAGCTAGTGTTGTGCTAAGTGAAATATATACTGTACATACATCAAAAATTCACATAAAGGATAAAACGGAAAAGTGCTCAATCGTGAACCATTGCCAGAAGTAAATATTTTGAATAAACATATATGAAACAGTCCTTATAAGGTATATAGAACAGTCCCCTTATTCTGTGGTGACTAATAGAAGATCTATCATTCCAACCACCAATGTGAGAATTGCACCACCGTGATATCAAATTGGAGGCTTACCAGATCCTTTGACCCCTTTATTATAGGGGGTCAATATATACCTGATATATATATATATATATATATATATATATATATATATATATATAAATTCCGTCCGGACTCGCATGTCTGAGATGACGTGTAACATCCGAGGCTCCTCAGGCCATCCCGGTGTTAAGGGGTCAACATATGCTCATATAAAATAAAGGGGTGCCTCTCATAGTGCAGTAGGTTAACCAATTTATTAAATAAATGAAAATGCACTTACAAGCATAGTAAAATTATCAGGCGACCAGAAGTCAGCAGAATCAACTGTAAAATGGCGATTCTTACACGATGACATAAGAAGGGAGGCTCTGCCCAACGTGTTTCGTCATAAGCAGCCGTCTTACGCAACCAATGCTTATAAGTGCATTTTCGTTTATTTAATAAATTGGACACATCATTTTGTATAATATTTGTGAATTTTTGATGTATATCATTTATCTCAACACTAGCTATTTATTTGATTTATAAATAGAATGCCTCTAGTTAGAACTGAGTCTTGGGGAGTGTGTGCCCTTATGGGGTTGTAAGTGAATTTCTCTGTGTTTGCTTGAGAGCATATTTAATCACATTCCGGTTTTTGGAATCTTGGACATAAAAATATCTGCATATGCATGGAGGTCAACAAGGTTCTTTCCTTCACATTTGTTTGCTGGAAGCCACTACATGTGCGTTTTAATTTTTTTCTAGGTAACTTCTTTAAAAAATTGATAAAGTGTTACCTATTTATTTGGAAAAATTTTCATCCATTCTTTGTATTTTTATAAGGAAAAATCACCCAGGTATGCACATCACAAACTGAAAAATTATCTGAATTAATTGGATGGATCTTAATATTAATGATGCCACTTCACTACAAATAACCACATTCCTTTTTTTTCTGCAGGTAGAGTCTTACATTTCCTTCTGTGGGGGTCTTCCAGCTCCAGAGTATTCTGACAATCCACTGAGGTATAAGTTCAGCTGGAGCCCTCTTGGTGTTCTCTTAAATACAATACAGCCTGCCACTTATTTGAAGAATGGAGAGGTTTGTGATGACCAAAGATTCTATTTATTAATTAAAATAACGTTATATAATCAAATTTATCATACTGACAGTCATATAGCACAAATTCTTCACTTGAAAAGCTCCTAAGTAAAATTTATCAGGTGTGCTGATGTTGTCCAGGAAGAACTGCAAGTCAGATAATTACGCTTGACTTGTCTACTGCACTGTAACAGGGCATAGGCAGGACAGGAGGAAGGAGGCCAGGTATAATACTGGAAAAGAGAACTAGGATAAATGTCAGAATGAGTGACCTGTGGGAGAGCAGGAGTGTATGGTAGGGGCATGCAGGGTAAACAGACAATGCGAGGGGAAACTGAAAATAAAACATCTTGTAACCATGCAGGGACTAGGATCAGTGCTGCAAATGCATTCAGATTTACCCTCACTGACCTTTTCAAGCCAGGGACAAGTGGAATTCTCCAGATTACTGTCTGCAAGAGGGTAGCATGGTCCACAGAAATGATGCTTAGTAAAATAGCAAATTCCCTGGTCTATGCATCCTGCCTACATTCTGTGGTTTAATTCTGTAATGTAATGTATCTCTAAAATAGTGCTTCTAGAAATTGAACTACCGTACTGAGGACTCTTGTAGACAGGTGTTCTTTTCAAACATGGCCTATTTCTATTTGAATGCACTACTGCTGAAACAAATGTACTCAATGCAAATGCTTAACAAGAAAGGGCTGTGTTTGATTCACTTTGACTACAATTTTAAATGCACCTCAATGGGACTTGCTTCATCCAGTAATCAAAAGCAGCCTCTGAAGCACACATTAAATGCAAGTCAGCAGATTGCCACTGACCTAAACAGAGTAGTGTAGATGACAGTTCAATCACTGGTAAAACTCTCATCTACTGTCATGACCAAAAATATTGGCACCCTTGCATTTCTGTCAGATAATGCACCACTTCACCCAGAAAATTGTTGCAATTACAAATGTTTAGGCATTCTCATGTTTATTTCTTTTGTTTATATCGGTATGGCACAAAAAGTGGCGAAACAAAAAGCCAAATCTGACTTTCCACGCAAAACCCTAAAAATGGACTGAACAAAATTATTGGCACCCTCAATTTAATATTTGGTAGCTCACCCCTTGGTTACAGGAAGGTTTCAGTATTTTTTCCATCAATTAATTTCTTACACTTCTCTACTGGAATTTTGGACCACTCTTTCGCCAACTGCTCCAGGTCTCTCAGATTGGAGGGGTTCCTTTTCCCAGCTGCTGTTTTGAAATCTCTCCACAGGTGATCTATGGGATTGAGATCTGGCCTCATTGCTGGCCAGTTCAGTACTCTACAGTGTTTTGTCTGAAATAATTTCTTGGTGCTTTTTGACGTGTGCTTTGGGTCATTGTCCTGCTGTACGATCCATGACCCCTGATGGAGTCTCAGCTTTCTGACCGTGTGCCCTACGTTGCACCCCAGAATTCTTTGGTAGTCTTCAGATTTCATAATGCCATGCACACAATCAAGAAATCCAGTTTCTGAAGCAGCAAAGCAACCCCAAAACATCAGTGAACCTCCACCATGACTGTAGGAACTGCATTCTTTTCTTTTAAAGGCCTTATTGCTTTTCCTGAAAACAGTAGAATGATGGGCTTTACCAAAAAGCTGATTTGGTTTCGTCTATACACAGCACATTACCCCAAAAGGATTTTGTCTTCCTCCAGTAAGTTTTGGCCATCTGCAATCTGGCTTTTTTATCTTTCTGTGCCAGCAGTGGGGTCTTCCTGGGTCTCCTACCATAGCGTCCCTTTTCATTGAGATGGTGACGTATAGCGCTATCTGCCACAGTTGTACCCTGTTCCTGAAGGTTAGCTTGAATTTGTCTAGAAGTTGATCTAGGTTCTTTAGCCACCATTTGAACAATCCTTTGTTGCAATATTTGATCAATTTTTCTCTTTTGTGTTGTCCAGGGAGATTAGCTACAGTGCCATGGGCTGTACACTTCTTGACAATGTTCCGCACAGTGGACACATTAGGATCTCTGGAGATGGACTTGTAATCTTGAGATTGTCCATGCTTTTCCACAATTTATGTTCTCAAATCCTTATTTGCTGCTCTTTCTCTTCTCCATGCTCCATGTGGCACACAGACACACAACAGAAAGGTTGAGTCAATTTTTCACAATTTTAACTGGTTGCCGGTGTGATTTCTATATTGTCAGCGCCTGTTAATTGATACAGTTGTTTAGTTACAAATTTACAGGAGCATCACAAAGTTGGAATGCAATTATTTATTACAATTTTGAGAAGGTGCCAATAATTTTGTCTAGTCCATTTTTGGGGTTTTACATGGAATGTGTCAGATTTGGTTTTTTGTTTCTTCACTTTTTTTTTGTCATACCCGTACAAACTAGAGAAATAAATATGAGAATGCCTAAACATTTGTAATTGCAACAATTTTCTGGGCAAAGTGATGAATTATCTGACAGAAATGCAGGGGTGCCAATATTTTTGGCCATGACTGTACAGGAGTTCTGATTTTGTCCACCACTTGAATTCTATTACCACACCACACTGTGAACTACATCCTAATAATTGCCCAAACATGTACCGTTCTTGTTCTTGTCCACTGTCAGTGCAAAATTAAGCAAAGCTAGCAGAAAAATGCAAAAAAAAAAATTCAACTTCACAGCCATTTACTATAGTAGTACTATGTCTACCCATTTTGACATAACTATCTAATGTACACCGTTCCACGTGGACAGTCTTACTGTCTAGGTAAGAAATGAAGAGGAAGTTGTCATTCTGCAAGTGTCCTGGTACATCTTCACAACATTCTCCTATGCTTATACTGTAAACAAAAGCTTAGCTAAAGACATTTCACTAACAGCTGTTTATTGCATTCCATTGATAAATTGCAGCGTGCAGCCAGACTTTACCTATTTATTACTGAACAATTTCTTTTAATGGCTTTCATATTCTTCTCCTAGGTTGTTAATATTGCAGCTGGAGGCTCGCTGCTGGAGTCTGTTACCATCATGGACTGTTTTCCTGGACTCAATCTAGAAGGCTTCCCAAACAGGGACAGTACCAAATATGCAGAACCCTATGGCATCCAGTCAGCCCATACGTTGATGAGAGGGACCCTGAGGTACAAGGTATACTATTTCTGCTCATCTGTATTAGAAATAGGCATCTTAAGGACGTAACATGGATTGCATAGAACAAGGTCAGTGACATCTAATCTACATGACAAGGAAAATAGCGACTGCTCATGACGGAGTCAGCAACGTATGCACTTTAAAGGAACCCAAAGACCTTAAATAACATATAAAATCAAGTACAGCGCTAAAAAATTAGTGATAAACATAATGAATTAAATCAATAAATGCAAAAAAATATATATATAAAGTCCTTTGTAAAGACACTAGGCACTATATTACGTGCAACTACAAAAGTTAATACACAGAAAGTGAAAGTCCATATGTTGGTGAAAATCTGACATCAGTCAGAAAATGGTGCTACGTGAAGATCCCATTGCCCAAGTGATTTCAAATGAATTCCATGTGATAATAATCCGTTCAGATTGTGCAAGGGATATGGTAAAAAAATGCACACTCATGAGATGCGCATAACAAATGTGCAATTAGTAGAATATTATATGGTGGTATGATCTGCCAGAGGCCCCCTTTAAGATGGATCAGATGTGCAGCCTGGAAAGAGACTTCCTCCTCTGCACCTGGGGCTGCCCTGCAGCCGTTCTCCAAATGGGATCCTGAAAGTTAATAGCTCAATGCAGTAGCTTGGTCAAGACGTAGGCATCGGTGACCCAGCGCTGTCGTCTGTGCCTTCGCATATGGTGCCCCCATTGTCACGTCATCACTCTGTGCAGTCTTAGAGGACCCTGCCACTGGACACCCAATAGGAATATCCACATAGGTAAGAATGAGCTCAAGTTGTTGAGCTGTTCAGGCATTGCCTGTTCAAGTGTACTGACCTCAGAAACAAGCTACCTCAGAAACAACCCACCGTGCCTCCAGAAGCCACAAGGCCACTGCTTTGGCTGTGGTCACGATCAGGTCCTGAAGGATGAGTAACTACTCCTTATTACAGAAAATCATACTTTTGGGGCATTTCTTTAAAGTGTTTGTAAACCAAAACAATAATTTTCTCTTACTTGCTCCATTTTGGCCTGTTTTAATATTGTAAGTGCTTAAAAAAGAAAAAAAAAAACTTGATCCTGACAAAACATTCTTGTGAGCTGATAATTTCCTGTTACATACAGTATCTCACAGAAGTGAGTACACCCCTCACATTTTTGTAAATATTTTATTATATCTTTTCATATGACAGCACTGAAGAAATTACACTTTGCTACAATGTAAAGTAGTGGGTGTACAGCTTGTATAACAGTGTAAATTTGCTGTCCCCTCAAAATAACTCAACACACAGCCAGCCATTAATGTCTAAACTGCTGGCAAGAAAAGTGAGTACACCCCCTCTTGGGCATGGAATTCACCAGAGTTTAACAGGTTGCCCCTGGAGTCCTCTTCCAGGATGACATCACGGAGCTGGTGGATGTTAGAGACCTTGCGCTCCTCCACCTTCCATTTGAGGATGCCCCACAGATGCTCAGTAGGGTTTAGGTCTGGAGACATGTTTGGCCAGTCCATCACCTTTACCCTCAGCTTCTTTAGCAAGGCAGTGGTCGTCTTGGAGGTGTGTTTTGGGTCGTCGTTATGTTGGAATACTGCCCTGCGGCCCAGTCTCCGAAGGGAGGTGATCATGCTCTGCTTCAGTATGTCACAGTATTTTATTTTTTTTATTTATTTCAGGTACTTATATAGCGCAGCACTTTACATATATATTGTACATTCACATCAGTCCCTAACCCTCAAGGGGTGTACAATCTAAGGTCCCTAACTCACATTCATACATACACATACTATGGACAATTTAGACAGGATCCAATTAACCTACCAGCATGTCTTTGGAGTGTGGGAGGAAACCGGAGTACCCCACGGAAACCCACGCAGGCACAGGGAGAACATGCAAACTCCAGGCAGGTGGTGCCGTGGTTGGGATTCGAACCAACGACCCCAGTACTGCCAGGCGGAAGTGCTAACCACTAAGCCACTGTGGCATTCATGGTTCCCTCAATGAACTGTAGCTCCCCAGTGTCGGCAGCATTTAAGCAGCCCCAGACCATGACTCTCTAACCGCCATGCTTGAATGTAGGCAAGACACACTTGTCTTTGTAAGCCTCACCTGGTTGCCGCCACACACGTTTGACACCATCTGAACCAAATAAGTTTATCTTGGTCTCATCAGACCACAGAACATGGTTCCAGTAATCCATGTCCTTAGTTGCTTGTCTTCAGCGAACTGTTTGCAAGCTTCCTTGTGCATCATCTTTTGAATAGGCTTCCTTCTGGACGACAGCCATGCAGACCAATTTGATGCAGTGTGCGGCGTATGGTACTGACATGCTGACCCCCCACCCCCTTCAACCTCTGCAGCAATGCTGGCAGCACTCATACATCTATTTCCCAAAGAAAATCTCTGGATATGACACTGAGCACGTGCACTAAACTTCTTTGGTCTACCATAACGAGGCCTGTTCTGAATAGAACCTGTCCAGTTAAACCGCTGTATGGTCTTGGCCATCGTACTGCAGCTCAGTTTCAGGGTCTTGGCAATCTTCTTATAGCTTAGGCCATCTTTATGTAGAGAAACAATTCTTTTTTTCATATCCTCCTAGAGTTCTTTGCCATGAGGTGCCATGTTGAACTTTCAGTGACCAGTATGAGAGAGTGTGAGTGATAACACCAAATTTAACACACCTGCTCCCCATTCACACCTGAGACCTTGTAACACTAACGAGTCACATGACACCGGGGAGGGAAAATGGCTAATTGGGCCCAATTTGGACATTTTTACTTAGGGGTGTGTACTCACTTATGTTGCCAGCGGTTTAGACAATAATGGCTGTGTGTTGAGTTATTTTGAGGGGGCAGCAAATTTACACTATTATATAAGCTGTGCACTCACTACTTTACATTGAAGAAAAGAGTCATTTCTTCAGTGTTGTCACATGAAAAGATATAATAAAATATTTACAAAAATGTGAGGGGTGTACTCACTTCTGTGAGATACTGTAGTCTGGCTGAAAAAAAAGAAAAGTCCATCCAGTTTAACCATTTAAAAAATAAAAAAAAGTTATAATCCTATACCCACAGTTGATTGAGGAAGGTAAAAAAACCCAGGAAAGCATGACCCAATTTGCTCCTGCAAGGGAAAAAAACTCTTCCTGGTCCCCCAAGAGTCAATCTGATATTCCCTGGATCAACTTTACCTATAAATGTTCATGCTTCCTCTTTGCCAAAGTGGTGCTATTAAGAACTACGGCATCTGCCTATGTGTCATCATGGCTTTATTGAATCCCCACTTAATATATTATAAAACTAGCAACTGTGTCAGCTAGCTCTGGTGGGTATCGGCTCTTTAACAACCAGTGACTCTTTTCTGCTGACAGAAGGGATAAGTTACTGGTGGTTAGGAAGCTGGGGATGCTAGCTCCTAACAACCTTTACAAATAACAGGCAAAAAAATTCACCCGAAACATATGTACATGCATTTTTGGTGAATTTCCATTTAAGTACCTGGAGCACAAAATCCGGCTGCAAGAACAGGACCCTTTTCCAAAATTGTGTTGTGTGAAGATGCATTGATGTGAACTGGCACCATTGAAAACAATGTGATTTCCATCACATGACTTTGTGCGACTGAATCAGTGTAGAAATTTGCCAGCACACCACAGATCCTCAGGTTGTGCAGAAACTTTTTTTTTTTTTTTTTTTTTTTTTTTTTTAATGAGGTATCGCATCACAAACGAGAGTGCAACGTTTTGGAGTCACGCAGAGCACCTTCGTCAGGCATGTGATAAGTGTATGGCAATTATGCAAAGCATGTGTGACTCCAAAACATTCTACTCTTGTTTTGGACTCAACCTGAAGATCTGTGGTATGCTGGCAAATATCTACACTGTGTCATGCAGGGCTTAACAAATTTGCTTTGAATCTAGGAGCCAGTTAAAAGGGTAAGAAGCCTTTTTTTTTTTTTTTTCCGGTACACCCTCCCATGTTCTCATACTTTCTACTCCCCATACATCCCCCCCCCAAAATCTTCATACTCTTTACACCCCCCCCCCCCCACATCCTCATACTCTGTACTCCCCATGCACCCCCCCCCATGTCCTTGTAGCATGAAGATTTGTATCACACAGGTTTCCCCTTACACTGGGATACCATCTCACCACCACTGCGTTGCTGAGCTGCTTTACAATTCAGTATAGGGCAACTCAGCCATGAAAATATTCCCTAGAAATCCATCCAGTAGAGCCTGGCTCTCCATCTAGTCCCACAGTTCTCGCTGGATGTATTGTGATTCTCCAAAGCAGTCTAGCACCTCCAGGAAGCTGCTCTCCATGCTGTCCAGTCCGACACATGCTAGCTGCTGCCAGCCGTACCTGCCACACTATCCACACTATCCTATTTAGCTAAAGAACTGTCCACTAAGTATGCCGCTGGGAGGGAGAATCCTGCAACCACAACTACGGATCTACTGTCCGTCACATCCTATTGGATATGGCCTGACACACATGAATCTTTATGCTACACCGTGTCTGCTTCATTAAGTAAACCCTACTGCATGTCCCGGGCATCGGGCGATATGATTTGACCATCCCTGCAATAGTGTATGGGCTGACAAAAGCAGTGGTGTCAGAGTCAAAGAATACAGACCACCTACAAGAGATTCTTGTCATTATGGAAGAATATAGGATATTTATGAACATGTAGATGCCTAAGGCCATGCCAGTCCAGATGGGCACTCTTCTTCTCCAGATTTAATTTCCATATCACCTATTGTCCCCCTGAATCAAAAAATTGCAAGGCTTGCACTCTCTCCCATATGTTCCAAGATGCCCTCTGAACCTGACACTATCCTGCCCACTAAGAACTTTCTGTTACTCAAGACCGATTTAGTGTCACAAGTTAAGGCAGCTGTCACTGAACACCCTCCAGCTCTGGAGTTACTCCTGCAACTTAGAGAGGGTCTTTTCTTCCACAGAGAGCTGGTCTTTATCCCTGAACAATTTCAGACCTGCATGTGTGATGACCACCCTCTTGCACGTCCATTTTGGGAATTGCACGTCATTTTGGGATTCACAGGACTTCAGATTTAATTCATTCTTTTTGGTGGGCAAATTTGGCCCAAGATTGCAGAGGCTGTCAAGTCATGTGTGGCTTCACTTACATAATAAATCCAATAGGTACAGGAAACGGTTCAAGCAGACCGCAATTCTTGCCTCTAACAAATTATGGAGTATGATTTCCATTGACTTCATAGTAGAGTTAATTCCACCTGAGGGGTGGTGGATTGCTTTTCCAAATGGCTCACTTTATGCTCTTAAAGGGAACACCTTCTGCTGCCAAGACCACAACCACTTTTATCAAGGAGGTAGTGTGTTTACATGGAATTCCTAACCAGATTATTTCTGATTGTGGTGTACAGTTTACTTCCAGGTTCTGGAAAGCCCTGTGTGAAGCTTTGGGCATTGACTATAGTCTGTCCTCAGCGTACCATCCACAGACTAACGGTCAGACCGAAAGAACAAATTCAAACGCTAGAACAACCCTTGCAATGTTTTTCGTCTTTTGCACAAGACGATTGGGTGCATCTTGTTCCCTTAGCGGAGTTTGCATATAACAAGTCAGTGCACTCTGCCACCAAAAAAGCACTTTTTTTTCCCAAACTATGGCTTTCACCCCTCTTTTCTGCCCAATGTTCCTCGGGAACAGTACCAGCTGTACAGGATTGTCTGGAATTCTGGAGAGTCAACAACCAATTTCTACAGGAGGCAATCACCATGGCTCAGGCAAGTAAGAAGAAATTTTTCGATAAGAGAAAAAGGGGTAACCTGGATTTAAAACCTGGGTATAAAGTATGGTTATCCACAGCAAATTTTAAACTGGCTTACCTCTCAAAGGTATATCGGGCCTTTTCCAGTAAAGAAAAAGATCAATATGGTTGCCTAATGAGTTAACTCTGCCTAAGAATTTTAGGATACACCCTGTTTTCATCTTTATGTATATTAAAACCGGTTGTTTCCAATCCGTTTCCTGCTCGGGAACCAGAGACTCCCATCCCCCCTGCCTGTGGAGGGTAATGAAGAAGATGATGTTGAGGTCATCTCAGATTACAGGAAGGGGTACGGGGTAGGGTCAAACCCAATTCCTAATTAAATGGAAGGGCTACGGTCCAGAGGGTAATTCCTGGGAACCTTCTATGAACTTCCATACTCCAACGGTTGGTGCAAGCTTACCTCTGACTTCATCCTGGGAAACAGACCTTGGTGGGCATCCGGAGGCTGCCCCTAAAGGAGGGGTAACATCAGGGAATTCCAGTGAGAAGTTGTAAAGGAATCCCAGTATGGCGACTGGCACATATATATATGCACATGGCATTGCTCGTATAAATGAGCATAGGTGCATTGGTAATAGAAATGAGCATAGGCTCGCGCATGCACACAGGAATGCACGCACATGTACGCACTTGGGAGCGTGCCCAGTTTCTGGCGCCAAACAGGCTAATTAAGGGATTCTTTTGCTCATTGTCAGTGCTGACTGGTCTTCCAGTTGCTCCCTGTGTCCTGCTACTACTCTGCTGTTTCCATGCCGCTGATCTGGCTTGTCTTTGACCTGAACTTGGAGCCTGCTTCTGCCTTGTCACTAGTTCCTGACCCCAGCTCTGTTCCTGGCCACGTCTCTGCCTGGTGATTCTGTACCTTGCTGCTGACCTTGGCTGTTGTTGTGACCACGCTTCTGTTCCTGGTTCTTTTCCCAAGAGTCCCTACCCAGCTGTCATCCACACCAGCTCTGTTTGCCCCAGTGCGTTCCTGTCCCAAGTCTGCTGGGAGTCCTGACAAACCTCACATTTTGAACCTGCAGCCCAGATAGTGCCCCTTTTAACTTTGGCTAGATCTCAGTGCACTATTACATTTCCTGACCTGATGTTCTGGCAGCCCTCCTGGGACCGCAACGCCCTACTGCAAGTACTCCTATCAACACCTGCCAGCACTCTTGTCCCTTGGTACCCTCTCTCTTCCACTTTTCTGTGCAACCTGGCATGGAGATACCAGAGAGGCCAACCTTGTCATTTCAGTCTCCGATCAGGTATGCAACAGTTAGACTGCAGGCATAGATCAAGAGATGGTCAGAGACTGCGTGCATGGCGCAAGAGATGGTCAGAGACTGGTTTAGCAGACCTGACCCTCTTTACTCACTGTGACTGTGTTGTGTCCCTCTTCTCAGCATGCTGTGTGTCCTCTGTGCCAGTGCTGCTAAGCCGCTGCCATGTCTTTCCTTCTGCTTTGTCATCCTGTCGGGTTGATGGGAGGAGACTGCACTCAAGGGCACAGCGGGGCTGTGAGCAGCCGCAGGCAGAGTCAGGCTGGCAGAGGATGGAGCAGCAGATCCAGGTATTGCTGTCGGGAAGATGATTGGCAGCGAGACAGGACCTCCGGTGAAGTCTGCGAATGGTTGAGAATGGTTGGTTGTTATAGAATGCGACCACAAAATTACCCACTATAGATTTGTTTATTCCCTTTTTAATATATAATATTTAGTGATATGTAATTATCCTATACTTTGTTTCATTCTTAGTTTATTAAATATATTTTTGTATACTGAAGGTTTATTTTACAGCTGGAGGAAGTAGATTATAAGTAGGGCACAAGAAACCTTGGGTAAAGTTGTTTTTTTTTTTTTTTTTTCTTCCATTTTCAGTAGCACAGCTCTCCTGTTTTAACAAAACAAAAAAAATCAGTTGTTTCATAATTTCCAACCAGACCAGTTCTACAGATTTATACATACAAATGTGTGTACTTTAAATTTAGTGAATTATTAATTCATGATTCAGAAACATAATCAGAAAATGGGAAAAAAAACATACCGCCAACACATTCCTGTTTAGGAATATCTGATTATTTTACTGCAAACTCCTTATAACCTGCATTAATTAAGCACGTTCATCTACATAGCTGCATTTTTCTACTGCGTACCTTGCCATGTCGGAGGAGTTACTTTAGTAAAGCAGTTTAAAGTTTGCCTGTGTTGCAGTCTTTTTGCAGAGGAATTAAAGAAATTCTGCAAGTGATGATTGCTTGTCTGCAGTTTTTTGCAGGTTTGAGTTATCAGTTTAGTAAATCACAATTTGGTCTAAGTGATGGGTATTGTGTTTTTTTTATATCATATGCATTTTAGTGCTATTATCCTGTTGGATAACTAACACCCATCCAGGTTAAAGAACCCATAATCCATTAGCATTACTGATTAATAGAAACTTTAAACCAGTAGTTCTACAGCTGCAGTGAAACTACATGTTTCAGCATGAGTCAAATTTCTTGGCTAGTCTTTTAAACTGTGTGTCTGGCCAAGTGTTAAACTTAGGCTAGACCCAAAAGTGCCCCAGTTGTCATGATCTAGTGATACATATGTTGCTAAGGGAGAGGCTGACAATGAAATAACATGGCTAATCCCTTGTAGAAAAAAGTTGTGGTCTCTAAATGTATGCTGAGGATGTTACTTGAAGGTCCTATTTATTGTTTCCACAGGGATTTGCTAAAGCAATGAGTGGTTTTGTGAAGTTAGGACTAATTAATGCAGATCCCTGTCCTTTGCTAGCTGTGAATGCTCCAGCAGTGAGCTGGGTAAGTAAATATTCATATTACTCATGATATATGTCTGCATTTATTTCATTCTATGTAAGTAGACATGTAATTTATGTGTTGAGCTAAAGTTGACATATGAAAGTTGTGCTAATAAAAAAAAAAAATAAAAACAGCTTTAGTGTTGATACTTACCTTTTAATGAGGTATATCCTACATCCTGCTGAATCCCTTTAGTAATCGTCTCTGAAAGGATGCTGGTGCTCTTTCTGTCTCTGAACTTCGGTGTTGGTGGGGGTTAATATCTGTTGGTCTTTAGGCAGAAATGCAGTGAAGATGGTACAGTTGTGTCCTGCCCTCTCCACTGAAAAAGGTCTTTCATTGTTTACACTACATATAACACACTATTTGAATGGGCGAGATTCAAATGAGTGACCTGATCCTCCACATTCAAAGAGTAAACAATGAAGAACTTTTCTCAGTGGAGGAGGAGGGTGTTTCCCCATTTGGCCATCCTCATTGCCATTCCGCTCAAACACTTGAAGCTATTATCCCCCACAGCGCAGGAAGTTCAGAGATTGGAAGTGGACCCGACACCTTGCAGAGAGGATTTCTACAGGATCCAGCTGCCTGTACGATGTGGGACATGACCATATTATTCACATGTTCCTTAAGCTGTGGGCTGAGTGTTGTTACATTGTGACAATATGTTCCACCCAGTTTGTCCTATGTATGTCTTATCTCATGTTTTTATAGTAGGAGGAGCCAAAACTGTTAATTCCATTAACCCCGATTTCAGAGATTGGCTTTTTAACAGGTGCAAAACAATAGTTTTTTCCCATTTATGGAAAGGTGTTCTGTGACTTTAAACAACGATTAAATAGTTATTTGTGGTGTGTTTTAATAACAGCAACATCACAGATAATAGAGCTTGTTCATATTAAAAGAAAGTGAAGATGCACAAACCAAGAATGAATATTTTCTTTGTTTTTTATACTTGTTTGATCACAAGAACTAATTTTTTTTTTTTTTTTTTTAAACACATACATGGACAAGGAGCAAGCTTAGTTACAGTTAATTCCATATATGAAAAAGTGGTATAATATGAGCAACCAAAAACCAATATTAGGATTTGGACCTTACTTCTTATACACTAAACAGTACCGCTTTATTTTAAGAGTCAATAAAACGTAGCTCAACAACGGGCTCATATGATCAAGCCAAGGTGACCAGATTGCTTCAATCCTTTCTATTGAACTTCTAAGAAAGTATGTATCTCATAGGAAATACACTTGTTAAGATTGAATATCCAGTCAGACAAGGCCGGAGGGTGTGGGGAGGTCCGCTTAACGGAAGTTTGTTTTCGGGCCACAAACAGAGCCTTTACAACAGTAATCTGGACCGGTGGCTTAAGAACAGATAAATCAATGTAGCCCAAAAGGCATGTAAGTGGATCGATTCACATTTAAAAGCCCATTAAATGTTCCCACGACGTCCAACCAATACCTGTGGAGTTTTTAGGGCAGTGCAACAATAAATCTATAAGAGACCTCGAGTTACCACATCTAGGACATGTTGAGTTGGATCTTAAGCCAATAGCACGAAAAAAAATGGGGTCCAATTGACCCTGTGAAGAATAAAGATCTGGGTTGACCTATGTGATGGAGAGAGTGAGACAAGAGGAAGAGCCCATAGGATCTCCCCTCCAAACATTATTAGAAATAGACCCAATATCCTGTTCCCACTTTACCTTGGAATCCAAAGGACATTTTATGGAAAATGTTCTCTAAGAGGGCTAGATAGGTAGTTTAGATAAAGTGGTACAAGGGACCTACACTTAAGCCTTATCTCAAGCTGGGACTGGTGAAAACCTGACTGGAGAGGAAGAAAACTGAACATTCAAAGCACACCACAACTGCAAATATTGATAGAACCACCTGGGGTTCAGAGAAAATTCCAAAGCCAACTGCTCCAAAGGTTTTTAAACAACCATTCTCATATAGCTGTACCAGGGTATGGACTCCTGCCCTCTCCCACATCTGAAAGCCCTACAGGGTGGGTAGCTCAGGAAACATGTAATTGCCCTATTTGGGGGTATATTTTTTAAGGAAAAAACTCCCGCTGACTTCATAACAGCGTCCCATACCTTGCAGGTCAAAATACAAGTGGGCATATTAATAAAAGGTGATTACCGCGACAAACCCTCCAAGGCCTGCAGAGGCGAGTGTCCCTGAAATACCCATGAAACTCAATGATAAGAAGCACTGTTTTAAGCCTCAGAGTTCCACCGTACCAAATGCTGCAATTGGGCTGCAAGAAAATAAATTTACAGATACAGATTAGGGGCCGCCAGTCCCCCAGCCTCCTTCGGATAATGTAGTAGTTCTAGTTTAATGCAAGGGACCCTATTACGCCAAAATATATTTATAAATACACTAATAACCTTAATAAAATTCTTCAAGGGAATCCAAACTGGAGAATTATGTAAGAAATATATAATAGCTGCAGCATCCATATAATTTTTATCAGGTTTATGCAACCTACTGTGGAGAGGGGAATCTCTCCATAGACCTTACAGAACATAACCACCAGACCTTACTTTGAAGTTGAAATCTTGTCAGCCGTGGAATGATATCTGGTATACACTTACCGGCCACTTTATTAGGTACACCTTGCTAATACGGGCTAGGACCCCCTTTTGCTTTCACAACTGCCTTACTTCTTCATGACATGGATTCAAAAAGGTGTTGTAAACATTCTTCAAAGATTTTGGTCCATATTGACACGATAGCATGCCTTTCTATAATCTTGAACCAGTCTGCCCATGCTCCTCTAACTTCAACAAGGCTATTTCATCCACACAACTGCTGCTCACTGGATATTTTCTCTTTTTTGGACCATTTTTTGTAAACCCTAGAGATGATTGTGAGTGAAAATCCCAGTAGATTAGCAGTTTTTTGACCAGCCCGTCTGGCACCAAAAAACATTCCTCATTCAAAGTCCCTTAAATACCCTTTCTTTCCCATTCTGATGCTTTGTTTGACTGTATATGGTGTAACTAACCTCTATATTGTTTTACCCAATTATGATATGCAGAGAGAGCTCATCTGTCATCTGCTGAAGGTTCCATCCTCCACTAGTGCTGGCCACATCAAGGAAATAGTGTATGACAAGATAGGAAGGGATGACAGCAACCTGGAAGCTATCGAGTGGTAAGGGCAGCTTCTTATTGCTTTAATTTCCTCTGAATAACTGCCCACCTTTTAGAAGAGAGAAAATCTTTTCAAAGTCAATGTATGTTCTTTACTTAAAGCTGAAGTATGGGCAACATTTTTCTAAAAATAAGTTCCCTCCAATAAATTGTACCCCATGTCTGGCTGCTGCAGCATCTGTTTTTACTTTTACTTATATTCAGCCTGTCCTTCCCTGTTGGAGACTTTTAGTTTCAAGAGGTGGCTCAATCAGCACATCCAGCATTCTTAAAAAGTCTTGCATTCGTTTTACTGAACAGAAGGAAGGCGTCCTGTGAATGTTGGAGGTGCAGATGAATGTCATTACCTCTTTCAGTTACAGAATGCCTTCATTCATAAAAAGACTTGCCTTCTTTTAAATTTAATGCATGGAGGTGCCAAGTGAGCAACATCTTGTGATACTTATTATACTAGAGCCAGAACTACAAGTCTTGGCACCAAACATTTGGTACTGAAAAGGCAGTGCAGGCTTATTTTTACTGTAGACATTGTAAGCATTCTTAACAATATACTGCTGTAAGAATGATTAGCTGATTCTAATTCAATCTTGCCGTTTTTATAGTACCACTGACAAGGTGAATTATAACAATCCAGGATGCCCTTCACTAAACAAGACATAACATTGCTGTGTGCATTGGCTTTATTGTAATAACCCATATAATAAATTGGGAGGTGGTGGGTGGGCGGTAGAGAAATACACTAGTGTAATTGAGAGGCTACAGCGCTGTGTGACCTAAACCATTTTTCTGATTTCATGTTTTAGATTTTCAACAATGTATTGTTAATATGCACATCTTTTTTGGTTGTCTGCTACTGTTACAAATAGCTGTTTGGTCTGACTGTATGAACTATATTTGTAGGTTTGGCCTTCTAGGTGAAGAACCGGTGCCTGTTGCCGAATCTGTTGTTGGTGCATTAGCTAAGCATCTAGAAATGATGCTTTCTTTTGGTAGGTACCATCATTTATGTACAATGTGCAGTTTACAGTTCATTATAACATACACCTTGTAGGCATTCTATGGCTACCCTGTTAGTTAAGCCTATCTAGTAGGAGTTCAGGTTCAATACAAGGTTCAATGTATTTCACATTCAAAGATGCTGTTCTACTCAATGCTATTAGAAAGTGCGGTTATTTGATTGGTTTTAAACATCTGTCGGCCTGGCCTTAGTCCTCTAAGTTTATTCACAGAGCAGTTGCTCAATAAAGGTTTTTGCTTGTACTCCCTTTCTGTTGTCACTAAAGATTGTACCTCGTAAAAATCCATAAAAACAGTCAACACATTCTAAAACTGGCCACAGACGATTAGTTAGATTCCTCCATCTACACACACAAGATGGATGGAGGACACTGTATTCCACCTGGACACAGAATTCTGAAAGCGGCTCCCACTGCTGTCAGAATACATTTTATCAGCGACTGACAGCCACTGATTGAGTTTTTCCAACATCCTCTTTGCCAGAAGTCAATGAAACAATCAACTTTGTTAACCAAGGACAGCCATGCACTGATTGCTATTTATTCAGCAGGGTCCAGACAAATTTCAGACGTTCTGATGATTTTGAAACTAGCGAAAAAAGAGGTACAGATGGGAAGGCCAATATACAAAACTCAGGAACTTTTGTACTACTGTTTTGGATGAATTACTGAACCTCATGACCATGTCTGCATGCTTTTATTGTTAATAAAAAAAAGTCTAGCCACGTAACTGTTTGGATTTATAAGCAAATTTACTTCATAATGTGGCCATGGATTCTAGATTTTCCTTCAACATAGGTTGAATTATGATTATTATACAGTATTTATATAGCGCTAAAAAGTTTGCTCAGCGCTGTACATTATAGTGGGGGACAGAACATGAGACAATACAGTAACAAAACACAAGGTGGTCAAGGGCCCTGCTCTTTTGAGCTTACAATCTAGGAGGGAGGGGATAGTGGTACAGGAAGAAGTGGCTGTGGGGGATGGAGTGGTAGGAGGAGTGGAGGAGATCGTCTGTTAGGTGAGGGCGGGGTAGGCTTCCCTGAAGAGATGGGTTTTCAGGGTGCTACTAAAGGTGAGGAGGGTAAGTGACAGTCTGATGGATTGGGGTAGTGAGTTCCAGAGGATGGGGGAAGTCCTGGAGAAGTCCTGCAGTTGGGCGTGGGAGGTGGAGACCAGGGAGCTAGAAAGTAGGAGGTCTTGTGAGAAGCGAAGAGTACGGGTTGGGTGGTATTTGGGTATCAGGTCGGTGAGGTAGTTTGGGGCAGCATTATGAATGGCTTTGTATGTCAGTGTTAGTAGTTTGAATGTAATGCGTTGGGCAATCGGGAGCCAGTGGAGGGAATGACAGAGGGGGGTGGCGGATATGGAGCGGTTGGTAAGGTGGATGAGTCTGGCCGCTCAGAATGACATGAATCTATCAAGTTCAGCCAAAAGAAAAAAAATAATAAATCCATATACAGAATTCCATATTCACTGGATCAACAATCTCTGGTATTATTACTTATAAATGTTAATATCCTGTTATATTCTGTGCATTTTTAAGCAATGAACCAAGCTTGGTGAAACTAGTTCTTAAGGGAGTCCTATTCCAGATTTTTACAGCTGTGCAGGAGGCTATTTGTATGCAGACATTAAACCTTTTTTCCCTTAAAATGAATATTTTAGCACCAAGTTCACTTTATAGACTGTTTTTGTATTTATACATGGTAATCATATCACTCTGCCTCTGCCTTAAATGCCTCTTCTCAAGGGAGAATAAATTCAGTTAAAGCAGAACTCTTGTAAAAAAAATTTTTTTCGCATGCAGTGGGGCTGTGCCTGCACTGCATAAGTTAACTGTTTTCTACGGGAGTTCAAGGAAAAGATATACTTACCTGATCCTTGGATGCCGGCAGTGGGTTGTTCTTGCTGTCCTTACATCCAGAGCCGGTCTGTATATTTGATGATGCTGATAAGAACAGTCCATTCACATGGCGGCTAGCGTGCGGGGGGGAGGAGACAAGACGGCGTGCACCGCTCTTGTGCTCGGAGGATCGTCGGATTAGGTAAGTATATCTCTGGTCTCCTTACCATTAGACAAGAACAAGCAGTTAACCCATGCAGTGTGGGCACAGCCCCACTGCATGGGAAAATAAAAATTGTGCCCGGCATTCTTCTTTAACTTTACTCATAGTGGAGGATTCCATTCCTTTTATTAGTTTAGCTGCCCTACGGGTGTAACATGTTCAAAAGTTGAACCTTTCCTTTAATCCTAAATGTATATAACATTTATAAATAGGTTAAAAAGTAAGGGCCCCAACACTGAACTTTGGGGTGCATAGCTTTTAAACATGATCTCTTTTTTTGTACGGAAACTGATATGTTTTGATAGCAGCCCTTTTAACAGTAGGTTTTGCTTGAAAATATAATTCAGGTTTTGAGTGTGTAATGTAACATTGAGCTATCACTATGTAAATCACTATTTACATATTTCTTTTCCATCTTGAATACAAAATTGTGCTTTTCCTTTTTAACCTTAAGATCTCTGTGTACACTATTCTAGGTCCTGGAGAGCGAGACATGATTGTTATGAGAAATGATATCGGCATCAGACATCCGTCGGGACATTTGGAAGCCAAAAATATAAGCTTAGTGGTGTATGGAGATGTGAATGGCTACTCTGCTATGGCAAAAACTGTGGGCTATCCCACTGCTATTGCCGCTAAAATGGTTTTAGATGGTAAGTATTCATTTCTTTCTGTGACTAACAGTGATTGCAAAAGCTAATTACTCACAATTGAGATTCAAATCGGTAGCTGTGATTCTTCTGTTCATAAGAAAATAATTGGATAAAGACCAAGCCAATCCCCAGAACTTCCCTTTCCAACCCTACATTTTTAATCATATAGGAAAAATAACACTTTTGTGTTTTCATTCATTTATACTATAATAAACTGTAAGCTATTCCACCTTCTTTATTGCTGCTTTATGCTCCAATAAAGTGTAAGGTCTCCCACCTTCTGTAACAGTTGTTCATATTCAGATTTTGAGCACTTCCACCTTTACCTTTATCCCCCCTTCCTTACATACAAAAGCATATTTTAATATTATTTTGTTAATTAGCGAGTTAGTTCCTAGCTATTAGCAGCAATTACAAAAAATGTTAAAATTGAAGTAAAGACTATTCTTCCCAAATCTAAGAAGATAAATAGGAAAATTATCCTAACTTCTGTATAACTGAAGCACATAAAAATTGCATGAAGGAATATAGCAATGGATATAGTAATGGTAGTGGACATATAGAAAATGTGTAGCTTATATTTTTTCAGCTTAAGGAAATGGCACAAATACATCTGCTGCGTTGTATTTACTATACCATGTAAAACACATTAATTAAAAGAAAACAAAATTACATTGTTAGCTTGATATATTCAGCAAGATGTTTTGGCTGTGTCTGACAAGATTCTTTAGATTGCTCCCTAGTAGTTGTCTGATGATTTGATGATTTATGTGATATTTGCATGGAAGCAAAGCAGACATAATGGAAACATTTAATATCATACTCACGGTTTTCACATTGCCTATTCCCTAGCAGTGTGCTGGAGAAAGTTGGATTTGGACATACTGTTGGGGAAGGAAAGACACAGCAGGGGGGATGCTAAAGGGAGAGAGGTAATACAGGGGGATTGAGTTGGGTGGAAAGTGTATTAAATCTGCACCTTGATGGGCCAGCTGCTGCACTACTGAGTCTGAGATTAAAACTGAACACTTTGCGGTTCAGTTTAACATGAGCGCTTTGGTGAACAGGAGTATATCAATCCTCCTGTTGTCCATCCTATTCTGGCTTGCAGCACTTCCAGGCTCACAGAGGAGCCAGGTAAGCACTGGGGCCAGAAAGGGAGGGCAACAATGATTAAGTGGTTTTACCTCTGCCAAGATTGCTTCTGTGTACAGCCAGCTTATAATTGGGCCCCTGGACACCAATTGGGACCTAGAGTCAGGCACTTGGGCAAGGACTTGGGTGGTCCAGCTATACTTAAATTGAAATTAAACTCACATTTTAAAAACACATTTGTGTCATAAATGTTTCCTCTTGCCTTGTAATGTACACTGAGCTGTGCATGTGCAGCTAAGCACATATTTACAGCACCGCTTTGTGCTATGATGTGACTCCCATGCACATGCATGGGACCAGCATGAGAGCTGACAGCACAGCACTAGAGGGCAACGCATAACAGCTGAGTTTAATTTCACTGTAGAAATTGATTGAAGCCATGGTAAAAATTAACCTTTTGTATGAAAAATTATTTAATTTTAATTTACTGGCATTTAGAGAAGATGTTTACAGTGAAATCTGCATTCCTTTATTGTTTGAGGGACATGGGAGCAGAATTAATTTTGAAACAAGTGGGTTATACTGCTGCATATTGGATAATGAACTAGCAAACAAAACTGTTAATGTGCTACATCCTGTAATGTGACCCTAAGGCACTGGGCTCTGCTTGGGGAGTTTTAAAGACACATGGGGGTTTATTTACTAAAGGCAAACAGACTGTGCACTCTGCACAGTTACTCCAGAGCATAGTAAATGAGCAGAAGATCTGCTGAATGTGCCACAAAAGTACAATAGAAAATAGTTGGCTTCCTCAGGTAAGCAAACTCCAATCAGGGGTCCTCCTGGGTCTCCTTCTATAGCGTCCCTTTTCATTCAGATGGCGACGTATAGTGCGAGCTGACAAAGTTGTACCCTGTGCCTGAAGGTCAGCTTGAATTTTTTTGGAAGTTGATTGAGGTTCTTTAGCCACCATGTGAACAATCCTTCATTGCAATCTTTGATCAATGTTTCTCTTTCGTCCTTGTCCATGGAGATTAGCTACAGTGCCATGGGCTGTAAACTTCTTAACAATGTTGCACACAGTGGACACAGGAACTTTCGATCTCTGGAGGTGGACTTGTAACCTTGAGATTATCCATGCTTTTTCACAATTTATGTTCTTAAATCCTCAGACAATTATTTGCTGTTCTTTCTCTTCTCCATGCTCCATGTGGCACACAGACACGCAACAAAAAAGTTGAATACATTTTTCACCATTCAACTGGTTGCTGCTGTGATTTTGATATTGTCAGCACCTGTTAATTGATACAGGTGCGTTTAATTACAAATTTACAGCAGCATCACAAAACTTGGAATGCAATTATTTCTTACAATTTTGAGAAGGTGCCAATAATTTTGTCCAGTCCATTTTTGGAATTTTGCTTGGAAAGTATCAGATTTGTTTCATTTTGTTTCCACTTTTTTGTGTCAAACCAATACAAACAAAAGAAATAAACGGAAGACTGCCTAACCATTTGTAATTTCAACAATTTTCTGGGCGAAGTGGTGGACAGAAATGCAGGGGGGGCCAATACTTTTGGCGTATAACTGTAGAATGTTCTTTCATACTGTTGTATCTTTGATTTGTTTAGATGCTTTGGGCGAATTATCACATCTCTTTATTTTGAACTTTGTAATTTTATCTATGGCAATAAAAATAATGAACAAAAAAAAAGAATGAAGGATGTGGTGTCCTTAGGCTAAAAGCTAGAATTTAAAGCTCTGCTTCCAACTTGCTTCATGTTGTCAAGCTTCCAACATCCACTTAAAGATGAGCAGACCTCCATGCTACTTTGACACAACTCCTCTCTCGGGGGAATCATAGCCACGTTTTTGGAACAGGTAGAGTTCAGGGTTTCTACTCCAACCTGAATACTGTTCCAGAAGTAAGAGGGCTTTTGCTATTTCTGTAGAAACACGTTATGTCTTCATTTGAGAAATTCTGCATCAAATTTCTCCAGCCAGTCATTGCATCCCTCCAACTAGGAGGACTTTCAATCCTCTGCAGACCTCAAGGATGCCTGCATGCATATCCCCATCTTTCAGATCATCAATGCTACCTGCATGTTGCTGTGGGCTAACGCTATACCAGTTTGTTGCCCTCCCTTTCCATCGGTCGGCTGCTCCTTGGATCTTTCCAGAGTACTAATTCCTGTACTTGCTCTGCTTGGTTCACAGGGCATAGCCACAGTGGGATACTTAATCGACCTATTACTGAGGGAACAGTCAACACAGGCCTTTTCTGCTAGTGTCCATCAAACTGTTCTGATTCTGCGAAGGTTTAGTTGCTCTCTGCTATTGCTGTTTTCCTTCTTCTGAAAATTCCAGTTACCTGGCAACTATACCAACTCACTGGCTTTGCCTCTTTCAGTCACTGGATAATGCAGATAAGGTCAGTGACTCTGAAAGTGTTGCCCTCAAGAGGCCCGAGTCTCTGTCAGCCAGGTGACTAGAAAAATGAAAAGTAGCCAGTGGTAGCTTCCTTTTTAAGCTCTATATAGTACAAAAGAAAATACAATTAATAACCTCTGACATTCTGTAAATGTTATAGACATACATTTTAATTATATTTCTGCATTAAACACACTAATATTTTACCAAACCTTTTCCACTGCTTTGCTAAAATCCAGTCTAAGATTCTCCTATCTGCTTACAAGGGTATCTGTCACAGAATATGTTTATTTGATTGTATCATATCTGATTTTTATGCATTGATTTCTGCTTCTTTTCAGGTGAAATTGATGGAAAAGGTTTGGTAATTCCTCTGACTAAGAATATCTATGGACCAATCCTAGAACGGGTTAAAAAAGAAGGCATTTTTTACAACTCAAAAAGCACTTTCTCCCTTTAAGTGACATTAAGGGAACCTGTGCAGAATGCTGAACTGTTTAATTTTATATTGTCAGATACTGTCATGTTAAACCATCATGAGAGTTGAATTTTCTACAAGCATAGCTGCCGTTGCTCAGTTCAAAACTAATTATGGAACAAAGAAAATATTGGTTTATGAATGTACTAAAACAAAAAAAAAAGATCGCACACCAAACTGCCTGTTTTGCATTTTTCATGCTTTATTATGTGCCGTATTTTAAAATTGGTTTGCTTGAACATAAAATCCTCCTTGTCATTCTTTTTTTTTTCACAATCAAAATCAGCTGAAGAAGACATGGGAAAATTGTACTGTAAACAGTTTAAGATCAATCTCAGCTTTAACAGCTTTATTATTAAAGTGAAAATCTTGTTTTTTTTGTTGACGTTTTGTATGAAATTATTTGCATTATGGCAAGAAAATAGCCGCCACAGCTTACTTTTTGCCTACCTTTGGAAGCATGGTCACGTTGCTTAAAATAGACTTTAAAAATGCTAGTAAATCTACATTTCACCCTTGTATGTATACAGTATAAGTAAAATTACCAAATCCAAAAAATACGGTCAGGTTTTATACCTTTCAATCAAAGCAAAGCAACTGTCTTGTACAGTGCAACTTTCCCAGGCCAGAGTGCTGATGTTGATAGACGTCTAGTGTAAATCTGTTTTCTAAGCTTTTTTTTTTTTTTTTTTTTACACATACTTCATCTTTTTATAGAAACCAGCGATTCTTCTGCTTATTGAGCATGCTTATTGCTTTTACCTCCCTGAGTTTTGTATGTTTTCAAACAATCCATTATGCTTGCTAGGTAGCAATACTAGTTTATGTCCATTTTATGCAAAATTGTATTGTTCGCTACAGCTTCAAACTGCACTGATAATGTCCTGCATGAACCCATCACAAGCACCCCTTAGGTTGCATCTAGCACTGACTGGGAACCATACCTAGACTGACTTCCTAAATTTACAGACTAATTGTTAACTTTTCCCACATGACCTTGAAGCCATTTTTATTTCATACTTATAAAAAGGGTTTGTCAGGAAAACCTGTTTATATGAATTCAGCATTACAAGAATGTGTGTATTCCGTATTTTAAGCTGTTGGGCGACGGTGAAATTTTTAATCACTTACATTAGATATTATGATCTGATCACTAACAAGATATAGATACATCAGTCTTCATACAGCAGTCAAGATCATTGTATTCTGCCTTCAGTCACTTCAAATATTTTGACATATTCTGTTATTGCCTTAGTGTTCCTGTACTTTACCCATGATTTTTCTCTGTAATCTGCATTTATTGAAAGATCTATTTTGAGGTGTGTGATGGAAAAAAACAGAGAAACGCTCATGTTTGTGAGGTGTCTTGTTTCTTCCCTAGTTACATTTTTTTCTAATGTAGTTTATATTACAGTAAAGGAAACTGCTTGCGTCTAATGATAGGCATGCATTTAGATTGAGGAAATTCTTTTTTTTTTTTTTTTTTTGTTTTGTTTTTTTTTTTACAAAATTGTACAAATAGCCAGTAGTGAAACAATTAGGTTTCGGCTTTTATTTTTAATAGTAAAATCAAACGGGATTAGGTTGCAATAAGTTCATATCTCAAAACACTTTTGCTGTTTTTGTTTTTTTTCTTTAAGTTGTGTAAGATTAGCAAAATATATGGCTACATTAAGTAGCTAGAGTGATGTGAGAGTTGAACAGTTCTATAACTGTAGTGAAATGGTTATAAGGGCTTACAACTGAGCCGAAGAGGAAATAACAGACTGTTGCAACTCAACAGACAAAGCATACTTTGTCTTTAAACCACCCCATGTATCCCCAAATTAGGCTATTTCTAGCATGGTACATTTCTAACCCAGTTCTGAAGTTGAGAAACCCTTTCCTCCTCAATTGTGGATGCCAGCCTCTAAGGCTGTGGCACAGTCCTGGATACTCTTTCCATGCAGGGGACTTGGTTGGTGGGGGAAGTCTTCCTTGTCATCAACATTCTGGAGCTCAGGTGATTCATTTGGTTCCTTATCGCTGGATATCTCTTGGGAAGACACCAGATGAGCATCCAGTTAGACATGACCTCTGCCATGGCCTATATCAGTCATCAGGCACTAGAAGTCCTGCCACACAAAAAGAAGTGAACTTGATTCTCTCTTAGGCATAACTGCACATTTCTGCCCTGTCTGCTGTCCATATGCCTGACGTGGAAAATTGGCAGGTGGCTTTCTCAATTGTCAGTGTCTGGACCTGACTAAACTGACTCCACCCAGGGGTGTTCTAAGCTCTTCTCCACAGTTGGGGAGCACCAGACATAGATCTTCTGACATCCCAAATTCAATAACAAACTGAACAAATTTGTTGCCAGGTCCATAGACTCTTGGGCTTTTGACTCTGTAGACCCCTTGGGGTCAGTTTAACCTGTAGTATACGGTTTTGCCCCTGCAGGCTGTCCCTTTGTCAACATGGAGGGTGTTCCAGTGATTCTCATTGCATCGAATGAGCTATAAGGATATGTACTTGGACTATTCGCAATATCACTGCAAGAAGTCCACTAGCTAAGAGAGTGAAAGAGAACACTGATTGCATGAAACTAAGGTATAATCTACATGGGTGCCAAAAGATCCCAAAGAAATTTCACTACACTGTGTTGATCTGCTATACACTTCGAGAGTCTACTTCTCTGCTACAGCTTCTTTTACGCGGATTCCCTGTTTATGCCTCCTAAAGGTTCCTGTGGTGACCTCTCTGGTTTTCAATACACCATTGTTAGGTGGATGAGACAAGTTATCAGTCAAGCATTAAGGCAGGGGTCTTCAAATTGAGGCCCTTGGACAAATCTTGCCTGCTGCAAAATTTTATGCAGCCCTCTAATGTAAGAAGAGACTGTGATGGGGACTCTCATGTAAGGGGGAACTCTGATGGGCTCAAGTTTATTTGGAATTTCTTTTTTTACTTAAGTTTTTTTCTGTTCTAAATCATATATTGATTACAAAGAAGTAAGTTACATGTACTCATTCATTTTAAATTTGATTTGTTCATTTATTAACCCCTTGGCTTTAGCACCTCCTGGCGCTTTGAGGGGTTTGTGACGCCAGGAGGCGGGGCAGGGTTTAGTGCCATGTGAACGCTGTGATTGGCTGTCACAGCGTTCACATAATCGCAAAGCTCCTGTCCGCAAGTAGTGATCAGAACCTTTCCGTGAGGTGCGCACTCTCAGCACATCATTTGTTTACATTGGGTACGCAAATATGTGGCCCCTAGGTGCCAAGACCCAGCTGCCGAGAGGCCGCATATTTGCGTGTGCACGGCGCCAAGGAGTTAAAATTATTTTGTTTTTCATCCCATGGCTGTTTGTAAAATATTCAATGTGGCCCCTCGTACTGAAAAGTTTGGAGACCTCTGGATTAAAGCATTGGGTTACTCCCTTCCATTATAAGGCACCCTCTACCAGATCTGTTATTGCTTCATGAACATTTCCACATCAGACATCTGTTTCTCAAATTTGCAAGCCTGCATGCTGGGCTTCTGTTAACACATTTGTTGAGGTCTACCAGGGGGATGTTCAGACCTCCTTTGCCAGTTGTAGGTGTAGGGTACTACAATCTGCTCTTTGAATTTGTTGAGACTACTTGACCCATTTGATATGTGGATCTGTTGGCATTGTTTGGTTGTTGCCCTCATCTCAATTGGATCTTGTGTCCCATACTGTATGATTAAGAACATAGTATTTTTGACTAAAATGTATTTCTTTGCGTATAATAGAGGACCCAGGTCCCTTCCCTCTGTTCTTATGATCTCCTTATTACTTGCTACAAACGTGAGGATGGATGGGAGTATTATATAGGGATGTCACTGTGGACTTCTCTTTTTTGGCAGCATACAGTCACCTGAAGGTAGCTGCATATAACCCATGATACGGACTAAAGATCCTATGGCCTGTACTGTACTCCAAAAAAAACAGATTTTACTGCTAAATTGAAAAATCCTTTTTTTTTTTTCCTTCTCCTTACCTTGTTAATATTAATTGGATGGCTCTTCCATACATTACCAGCTACAATAAGCAGTCTTTGAATGTCTGTGTAAATTCCTAATACCTGCTGTTTATCATTGCTGCCTTCTATACTGTTTCGCTTTTACCTGTGCTTTAAACTGGCTCTATGAAGACAGAGCACTTACTGTTAAAACCTGTTGAATTACTGTGTATTTTTAATGCCATATACTGTACATCGAATGTCATCTGTTGTTTTATTAGTGGGGAAAACACTGCTGTATTCTTTCACAAAAATAACTGGGCAGTAAATATACGGGTACTTTGCTATATAGTTTTTTTTTTTTTTGTTTTTTTTTTTTCTCTTGATGGTTTCAGATACAATATTTATGCCTATCTGTGGATTTAGAAAATAAAATTTAGAAATACAACTTGGTGTGTATTGTCATTACCATTTAGGTATTCTCATTTCTTTACAACCCTTGTTTGGTACCACATACAGGGAATATGCTTTGTGTTTATCCCATTTAGTTAAAACTCTATTTCGCTATAAAATATAAATAACTGCATACAAGCCACACTCCCTTTTTTTTTTTTTTTTATTATTGAAGTGCAGGAGGAAGGAAAAGGATGAAATAAATTTTAAACATGTTTTTTCAATATTTGTTTATCTTCATATTTATGCCATTCTATCATAATCATAACATTTTTAATCATGCTACTCTATGATTAACAAATGTAGTCATGCATGATGTGTTAAAACTACTATTATAATACTACATTTACTACACTGCTCAAAAAAAATTAAAGGAACACTTTAAAAACACATCAGATCTCAATAGGGAAAAAGATCATGCTGGATAGGTATACTGATATGGACAGGGTAATGTGTTAGGAACAAAAGGGTGCCCCATCGTTTGATGGAAATGAAAATGATCAACCTACAGAGGACTGAATTCATAGACACCCTAAAAATGGTAGTAGTTTGTATGACCCCCAT